GCCTGAAGCTGTAGGTATCATCCTGATATAGCCACTCAAAAGTCCAGTGATGTACCAGTACGTCGCTGGTCCTTGTTGGGTGTATATGCTATGCTTTTTTTTTTCATGCAGCCTGTGGGCTGAATGAGATCTGTCAGAAAAAGTGTGTGGTATACCCACTATTAGAATATACTGCCCTGCATCCACCCACTTCTAATGGTGAGCAGACATGAAATGTGCCAAAAATATTATAAAATATATATGCTGAAGCATAGGGGCCTTCCACCCACTGGCCACCCCAGGCCCCCATGCTTCAGCATATATGCTCTTTAACTGCAGATGAAAAATCTCATCCAACAGCTCTGCCTACACTGACTTATGTATATTCTTAGAGCAAGTTCCTTTTGAAACAAGTCATTGCTGCAGCTGAATGACATTCCTACAAAGAAAACAGCAATGGTTAACAAAAAAAAACAGTAAAATTGTAACAGTAGAAAAGTGACAAAAAAAAAACAAACTATTTTTGGTTTTTAAAATTTTTAATTTTTGGGGGGATTTGTACTTTTTGTAAGGTTTTTTTTTTATAAACTTTTAAAACAGATTGTAGGGTCTCTCCAAATGCAATAGCCAGTTTCCTGACTACATAACATCTTTCGAAACCCTGTGTAGATATATGTGCCCTGAACTGTGCTGTGCTGTACCCTATACCAATACTCCACTAGTGTGGTAGCGACGAAAGCAGTCCTTGAGGCTGAGACCAGGTTGGCCTGGACAGAAGGGACAAAAAAAGCTGGTGTCATGCCTAATTCCATGTCTGCTACAGACACATTTTTTTTGGGGTGTCCTTTGGATTGGGGTACCAGGAATGGCATCGGGAAAATGCCTCTCATGCAGCCGGCCAACTGCATCTGGGTTGGGGGTTTGGGCCACAGCACCCACTGGATACAAAAGAGCCGTGATGATCTCTTCCTGGAATTTTAAGAAGGAACCACTTCATCCAGTTGCTTTGTAAAGCACAAAAGCATTATACAGAGCCAATTGAAATAAATGGACATTTTTTTGTACCAGTGTCTGGCTTTTCGGGAAACCAAGTACGGCTTCATCATCTGGTCATTGAAGTCCACCCCTCCCATGTTGAGGTTATAGTCATTGACACAGAGGGGCTTCTCAACAACACCAGCTCTCGTGGCATATTGGATGGTCGTGTCGGAGTGAATTGAAAACATCCGTTTGTCCTTCCACTTCACTGCGAGCAATTCCTCATTTCTCAAGCAGGCTTTTTCCAACTTTCTGAGACTGGTATTTACAAGCCGTAGGGGGAAGCCTGGGCAAGTAGGTTGCATGGTGCCACATGCGACAATTCAAAGATTGTACAAATGTCTAAATAGTGGCACGCTTGTATAAAAATTGTCCATGTATAAGTGGTACCCCATATGGAAAGAGGATGACACCAAGTCCCAAACTATCTTGCCACTGCTCCCCATGTAGTCTGGGCATCCGGGGGCTCCACGTGACTATCTTTTCCCTCGTAAATCCGAAACTTATATGTGTAGCCTGTTGCCCTCTCACAGGTAGTATACACCTTGATCCCATATCTGGCACGCTTGCTGGGGAGAAATTGTTTGAATGCAAAGCAGCCAGAAAAATTAATGAGGGACTCATCAAGGCAGATGTTTTGCTGGGCAGTACAGACATCTGCAAATATTTGGTTAAGGTGATTTACGAGGGGCCGAATTTTGTGGAGTGTCAAATTCAGGGTCACCCCGAGGACGACAGAGTGTGTTGTCATTGAAATGCATAAAACGCATTATTCTCTCATATCATTGCCAGGCCATGGTAGCAGACAACACGGGTCTATGGAACAATACAACTGCAATTCATTTTTTTTTAGTAATGCCCATGTTAAGGGTTAGGTCTAAAAAAAAAAAAAAAAACAAAAAAAAACCAAAACTTTAAATTCGGAAACTGTATTGGGTTTCCATGCGAATGGACTGGCAAGGTTTGAATTTGGGTTGGCGGTGATAAACTGCTGTGCACATAAATTGCTTTGATCCACAATCAATTCATACAGATCTGTAAAAAATAGCTCCAAAAAGGGGATAGTTAAATTTGCTGTTTCCACCTGAATTCTGGGTTGGGCAGTGAATGGGGGAAATATGGGTGCTGCAGAATTTGTGGACTGCCAATCGGGATTTGCAAGCACATCCAGAAGGATATTAGGAACTCTACAGGCCTGTGTGCAAAGTCTTGGTGGCTACGGGACACTACTTGTGCTCTCCGCCGCACCAGCTTGTACTGCACTTATGGGACTCACCACGTCACCAAGTGATACTGCAGTGCTGGTATGTGAAAGACTAGGATGTAGTAGACCACTGGTTCTCGCCAGATCACCAAAAGGTAGAGCGGCACTAGTACTGGCACTCTGCTGCATACATGAGAATCATCATGCGTTTGTAACATCTCAGCAACCTGGGAAGGGGTTGGGTATGCCTGACCTTAGCTGAATCCTCTTCTCCATTGTCTGAGCTACCCGTCAGGGTGCCGTTGCGGTCTACAGGTTCATATTTTGAGACTGATTGTGTCAGGGAGTCTTCCCCTTCCTCTCACCTAACATGCTAAGAATCCTGTAGTCCTCTTCACTAGAGTACCTTTCCATTGACATTTTGGCTACTAAATTTATAGGTACCTAGTGCGACTCACAGGAAAAAGAGCACCTGGCTGTCAGGGACTGCATGAACCTATACAAAGAAAATTACCGGCAAGTGCTAATAGAGATCAGGCCTGATTCTGCGAACAGTGCAGTTTTGTGTGCAATGTATCAAGTGACAGTGACCTACCGACATTGCACTTGCTGGGGGAGGGGGGTTAAGTGTAGGGGATAAATGCAGGTGCTAGCAGGTTCCGGGGCTGATCTCGCTAATGCCGTGTTTTTGGGGACACTACACTAATGTGAATGCTGGTATAGTGCCGATCTGATCAAAGATATTAATCCGTTGAAACACTATACTAGCAATGGAGGTTTATTGCGTATGAGCGTTTTCCTGGCAATCAAGGGGTTAATGTGATCACTGGTGTACTGACGGGCAATCTGACGCTATCTGGGGAGGGATGCTGACATTATCTGAAGTCATCAGCAACACTAATACAGTGATCAGCAAAAAATCTGTACACTGTACTAATGACACTGGTGACAGGGTTAACCTTGGGTTCGGGGGGGGGGATCAAGGCGTTTAATGTGTCCTAAGTGTGTTTTAACTGTGAAAAGTGTGCTGTTTTACTCACTGCGTCTTGATTCTTCTCACTGGGATGGAATGAGCCCCCCCCCCCCCCTGGCCCGCAAAAACGCGGGAGCGCAGATCACAGATATATATATACACACACACACACGTGATTTTGCGCACCCGTGCCACCCTGTGCAGTATTTCTACTATAGGGCGGCATGGAAGCGGTTAAGATGGTCCTTTCCACTGTTTTTATACCCAGAGAAAAAAAAAAGCAAATGCTTGCTGGTTAATCAAGCAGCAATGAAACTAATAGAATACAATCTGGCTTAGATCATCACTTCACAATAATTCCTAGAGCACACAGAACACACCCCCCCCCCCCCCCCCCCCACACACACACACATTACAGCCACTTGTTCAGTTCTCAAACCAAAACAAACACTTACCGGCCTGCCAATTTGTACTCCGAGCATGATCATAGAACTGTCTAAGTACAAGGAAGTCTATCACATCTGGCATGTCATGATACCTATGGAAACAAACAGTGATCAACATTTAACCCCTGAAAGACAGTCCGCCCCCACAAGTATTCAGCTGACTTGCAGATATGGATGATCTGCAGGAGAGGAACTACATTTTTATCAAGCAGAATGTGAAAAATGCAAAGGGTTTTCTCCCTTAAATATTTCTGCATTGTCAGGGAATGCACCAGATAAATACAGGCAAGAACAGCGAAAAAGCCAATAACTAATCCTTATATGAAAACACAGAATGTTAGGGATACATTTTAAAGGATATTTGGGTAGAATGAGCTCAATTTTAAAAATTTTACATTGAATTTTATTGAAAAATGACAACACTGTAAATCTTTCAAGTGCATGGCTCAGCATTTAAGAAGCTCACTAGCACTGGGTGTACACCACATAACTGCTAGTGACATTATCAAGTTAGGCATCTGTATATTCAAACTGCTTACAGTAATCTGGCGTGGGGATACAAAGCAACCCTTAAGGAGCACAGCATCCACCACAAACTTTCAGCAAGGTGTAATGTTGGCTACAAAGGAAATCAATTGAGAAGCTGAGATTGACACTGTCACAGCCTACAAATCTATAATTATTAGTGATGCACCGATATATATACCGCTGAAAGATATCGCCCAAAAATAGGGTTATTGGCGGTTTGCCGATAGGGAAAAAAAGGTGCGGATGATAATTGATGAAATCCTATTGACTTCAACGCAAAAATCACCCTCCACTGACATCAATGGAAAATCACCCCCCACTGACATCAATGGAAAATCACCCCCCACTGACATCAATGCAAAATCACCCCCATGACATCAAAAAATCACCCCCCACTGACATCAATGCAAAATCACCCCCCCCCCCCCCCCGTTGACTTCAATGCAAAAAACACCTCTAGTTTTTTTTAAATTTTCTAGATATTTAATTTTATTTTTTTGTCCAATTTTTTGTGTGCTACTGTCAATAAAAGTTAGTTAACATTACTGGATTGTACTTTTTAAATTTATATTAATTTAAATTCATGATATTAAAATGTTGAATAAAATACAATATATTAAAAAAATATTTAGAAAAAAAAAAAAAAAAAAAAAAAAAAACTATCCATTTCAGTTTTCGGCCAAGTGCATCCTGAATTTTCAGGTTCGGTCCAGAATTTTCATTTCAGTGCACCACTAATTATCTATTAGGACTCCCATCACCTTATAAACTTGAGAAAACAAAAAGCGTTCAGTGGTGTAAGTAGTGATAAGGTTATGAATAATCAAATCAAAAACAGAAGGAAAACATACTTGAGGGAGAAGGATTGTCCCATGAGCTTTCCACTAACATGGTCTATCAAGGCAAGTTTAAGACAGCACAAAGTGGGAGGTCCAATTTCATATCGGATCCCAACAATTTTCACCAATTCCTGGTCCTAGTCAAAAACATAACATGTAAAGTACTCAAGACCGAGAAGAAAACACAATGATGTCCAGGTACAACATTCCTCTGGCACACTATAGGACACCCTGTAAATCACAGACTATAAGGGAGAACTTACCCTAAGTTCACATTTTTTCCATGGCTCTTTCATTGAGTTCAAGATACTGAGGTTACTTCTCCTGACTGCGTTCATATACGCTTCGTGACCATGTCGGAAGTAAACTACCTGTTAACATATCAATGCAGAAGAAAACACAGCCATATATTAATAAAATGGACAGCAAAAGTTATGGGGAATGTGTTTAAAAGTAGGTCCCTATCACACAAGTGCTGATCAGTGCCACCTGTTTTTCAGGCAAATCTGTTTGGAACCTCCATTCTCCTCCCACACGTCAGTTTACACCTGCCTACATCTAATCCGATCTGCTAAAAACAGACGGGGATCAGTTCCCCTTCCGTCCAGCAGATTGGATGGCGATCCGGTTACATCTGACCGCCCATAGTGGACAGTGGGCTATGTCAGTGTCCACTCTGCATAAGCTGAGAGGACACAGACCTGTCATCCACCTGCTGAGGGGGGGGATCAGCAGACAGATCCCCTGCTGAGCAAACAGATCGCTGGTGGACTATGCCCTGTGTTAAAGCAGCCTTAATGGGCAGGCCTGTGCTGGTTTATGAAACAGTCACAGATGTATGTACAATTTAGCTGCCTTTGGGGCAATAAATCTTAACGAGTTATAAAGATCGATGTAAAAAGCTGGCCATAGATTAAACCAGTGGGTTGAATTAAAAACACTGACCCAATTCCCCCATCCACACACTCGAGGCGGATGGGGGAATCTCCCCGCTGTGTCATTGTATTTTGACAGCAGAGGCTTCTCTGCCATCAGAATATGCTGATCAGCGTTGCAGGCTATAGCCTGCAGTGCTGATCGAGAGGAAATTTTCCAGCAGGGCAGTTGTACACAAGCCATTCAATAGATCAACTTCTGTACAACCACTGAGCCCATACATTGATTGAAATTTGGAAAGTCCCCTGATGAAACAGTCCAATTTCGATCCATTTATGGGCAGCTTAAAGGATAAGTTCACCTTTGGAAGATGTTACATGTTCCCCCCTATTTTTAGAGTTGAACAAGTAACATGTTCCCATAGCGCTGCTGCAGCCCCCCCCCTCTGACATAGTACGGGGAAACTTCTCCCCGTACTGTCAGGATTGAAAACAGCGTGGCCGTGTGGGGCTCCGCCCACACAGTCGTGTCACTCATTCACAGAGTTCTGTTAATGAGTCCCTACAAGTGGGCTTGTAGTTTTCAATGAACTACCACGGCGCTTTGGAGCGCCGTGGTAGTTCATTTAAGCTGTCAGAATATTTGCTTGACAGTACATCGCATACCTGCATGCATCAGTGATCTACTGATCGCTGGTGCAATGCTTTACATGCTCCTTTGGACAAAAATAATAAATGCACATTTTTTTTTACCTGCAAAAAACGTGCTATTATTTTTTGTCCAAAAGGTGAACTTAGCCTTTAAGTACAGCAACTCAGCTCTGCTTACCTAGACGGTTTATAGCAATATTGGGAGAGGGAGGAGGGGTAGCAGTGCGAGCAGATGCCGAGTCATTTGAGGAGATCACAACAGTAATATGGTTGGGTATTTTTAGAAATTTTTTACATGTATGTTAGCACTTCTGGATAGTATGCGTTTTATATGGTAGCACACTTTTTCCAGTCAGTTATTTTTTTTAGCACCAAACTGTTTGGGGTTATTTTTTGCAAATCCTGAATCACGGCTACTGTGTTGGCAGTGCTCTATTAGTTTTGAAGCCATAAGAGTAGTTTTTTTTTTTATAACTCCTGAAAGTAGGTACGTGGTCTTTTTCCTGTGTTCCTTGGGGGTCAAGATACCAACGGTCATACCTGGACACAGCTACGAGATCTCGGAAAGTGAATGCACTCAAGTCACCTCAGTTGCGATTGCAAACACTTCAGTTTTATTGGCATTCAGGGTTATTATACTGTAGTCTTTGGGCAAACACACCTTCAGACCTTCCAAATACATGTACATTTTTTTACCTTAACTCAACAATTTGTATGAGGTTTGCATTTTCACTCTTCTGCTTTATCTATCATGCCATATCTGGTCTATCGCCCAGACCATGGCTATAATCTGAGCCAAAAGTTGTGGTTAAAAAAAAGAAAAAAAAACCTTATCTGTTTTTTGTAAAGTTTGAGAAAAAGACTTATTTCTACATGAAAACAGTTTTGTTTAGCGTGTACAAAGCATATATATGTTAAACTAGCATCTTGTATTAGTGTATACAAAATGGATTCAGTTATATTCCATTTAATCCTTTCAAGACCACCAATTATGTGGGTAACAATCAATCAGGGAGGAAAGAGAGAAAAAAAAAAAAAAAAAAAAAGGAGGAGGAGAGAAAGAGAAAAAAAGGAAGCTAGAGGGTGGCAGTTTAAGGGGAAAGGTGGGGGGGGAGTGAGAAGTAGCAGTTGGGGGGGAGAGTGAGCGACGCAAGAGCAAAAGACAGCTCGCGAGAGCAAAAGACAGAGCAAGAGCGCAAAAGAGAAAGTGAAAGAGTGAGAACGAAAGAGACACACACACACGGGAGATCCCTGCTATTACTTTCATCTGTGCATGCCATTTCAGTTTTAGGGTACTGAGCTCTGTACACAACTGGCTTTTTCAGGAAAGCAATCAAATGAAACCTTTTATTTGGGAAACATAGAAAGCTGCATCTGCTGACCCCCTCCCTCCTAAAACGGTTCCTAGCTGACCTAAAGCAAGTATCCAGATAAGGACTTCTTGCTTTTCTACAACCTTAACATCCTTATTCTGGATTAACTCAAAAGTATTAAACACTAATAAATAACTGTTACAGCCAGGCAGCTAGCATTTTCAGGAGGATATCAGTGGTAGCCTTCAGGAACTTCCATAATAAGTTTGAGAAAATGACAACATTATGAATAAGGCCTTGTGCAAAAACGTGTGCAGACATCTGTTCTGAATACGTTTTTTCAAGGGCACAGAAAAAAACAATTGTTCTCTATGTGCCCTGTTCACCCAACACTAGTATCATGTGCAGATTTTTTCTGTGCAGGAATCTGCAACGTGTATAAAACTCACTGGATCGCGGATGTCACTGCAACTGAAATCTGCGCATCATTTTGCTATCAGTTTTTCTGCATGTAAGGTGTGAATGAGCCCTAAAGGTTATCTGGAAATCCATGTCTTTCCAACCCCCCAGGGCAACATGAAGGATTCCCTTTCTTTGCAGGCTTTTGGATTTCTTGGGATAGAGAACCCCTATCAGCGTGTGGTAAATGCAGCCTTACTGGATGACACTAGGAAGATGCTGGTATAATTCTTACTATATCTAACCAAAACAGCTGACATTTCATCCTACAAAGGCCCCTGTGAAATATAACACTGGAAACTGACAATTGGTCTCATTCATCTATAAACTCACTTCATCTCCCATTTGTGGGACAAAAGGGGATCTTCGAGGATTTGTATCTGTGATCCATACAGAAGGATACCAGTCATTTGAGAGCTCTCTGCTTTCAGGAAGCCTCTGAGAACCTGCTGCAGACTAGAAAACAAAAGTAAATGTCAGATTTAGAATGGGGTAACACTAGCCGAGAAAAAGATGTTCAGCACATAGCATACCCCGTTCTGATTTGTGGGTTCGGGTGATTTCTTTTTGGGAGGTGAAGCCTTCTCTGGGGATTTTTCCTCTGCAGAGCTCTCATCTTCAGAACTGCTGATACACTTTCTAGCTCTTTGCCTTGCAGAAACTCTGCTTGGAGGATGCAGGTTATTTCCAGCATTTGCTGTCCAATCAGAATAATAGCTGGAAGAGTCACTACAATACAAGATAGATAAACAACAGCTTAAAGAGGGCCTTGTACATTGGAAGCTGTTCACAAAGACTCATGTTTTCCACACTACTGTTTACCCATGTTTTGCTCCACATTGTGTTAAAGCAGCCATTTTTGTAAGGAAATGGGGGGCTTTGCTTCTTTATGTCAAATTAGCTCTACCTTCTCCCATGATTGGAGGGGTAACGATCAAGAACCAGAGAATGGAGGAAGCAGAAGCACAGAGATTTTTGCACTGCTGGTCCTCAGGTACAGCTTCCTCTCCAGCAACAATTACAGCGACACAGTAGTACCATCGATAAATCTACAGAAAAGGAGTGCATAAGTACAAATGGTGCATTGTGATTCTTCAGGTGGAACTCAAGACTCAAAGTAAATCTTTCAGGGTACTGCTTTGGCACAGTTACCATTTCTAAATGTTTTCTATAAGATGGCAAATCTTCAGGTTTTGGGATTAGGTATGCAAAAATGTAAACAGGCGACTCATGCTAAAAATCTGAATGTTGGCTTTACATGAATGCGTTGTGATAGCGTTACAACAAATGTGCTGTGTGTGCGAACTGTGTTGGTGTGGGTTGCTAAAAATCATCACAAAGCAGAACATTACAGCAGACAAAGTTGAATGCATGTAATTTCAAAAGTGCGTGGTCGCTTCATTAAGGTGAGGGGGCAATCTTACTGGGGAAGGATTACACTTTTCGTTCACCTGCCAGATTTATATTGATCTCTGGAGGTTTCTATATATCCAGCCATATTGAAGATTACACACATGGACGGTTTATTGCTTATTGGTGGCACGTGTTTTTGTGGACTGTTATAAATTTAAGTTATGTGTTTATCATAGAGTGTCACTGGATTTTCATTTGTGGATTCACTCAATATTTTATTAAATTATTTTTATTTAATATTTTTATTTTTCTTCCTGCTATTTATATAGCAGTATAGTCCCAAGTTTCGGAACGAGAGCACGGCAATTTATACTTTGGTATATGTGGGCACTTGTTGAGTGGTGGTCGCACATTTATGTTGTAGGATTTGTTATAATCCTTGTAGATTGTCTTAGTCAAGAGTCCGTTTATCCTGACCGTCCTATTGTTTGTTTTATAGGCACACAATAGTGCCATTTGTCAGTCTGTTTCCACTGCACCTTTGGGCATTTATTTATGCCAAGTGTTTTATCACGTGTGGTTTAATACAGGTTTGTGATTTCACCCTGTTTAGGGACACAAGTGGGTTTATGTATTCTGTTTTTATGCGTTTTGCACATTTTTGATTTATTTCATATGTTTATTAAACATCACTGCATAAAATTGTATGTGAAGAATTGAGTTTGGTATAATTACACACAGTATTCACTAGGAGTGTAATTGAAACCTCATTTTTTATTTAATTATTTATATAAGTGTGGGAGCGCAGCAACAATTTTGTTTTAATTTTGATCCCATTCTATCCAGGTGTATAGCCAGGTGTCAGCGGCAACCCATTCCTAGATTAATAGTGTATTCAGGGTAGCGCAGGTGATTCTCCATTGTCACATGTACATCATGCATGGGTAATCATATATACTATCCCTTCAGTTAAGAATGAACACAGGAGTGTTCACATGTACTCGTGTTCATTGAAGAAAGTCAAAGGATCTGTAAATGTATCTATCTTGAACAGTTCTGCTCTCTGATGATGAGTGTCCACAATACAGTCCCCTCCGAAACACACCGTCTGTCAGTTTAGGCAGGGGGACAGCAATGGGATGGAGGAGACAAACACACAGACAACGGGGGGGAATTAGATTGCGGGAGCAATCGGGAGGATCAGTCACACATAGGGTACACTGCAAACAGAATTTTGAATGAATATCTGAGATAAACAGCTTAGCTATTCCTTAGGGAGAAGAGACTAGGGGACCCTTCTGTCACTGAAGAAGCCATGAACTTACAGCAGACGGGAATGCAGCTGACCTAAAGCTCACCGAGCTGACCAGCTACAAGCAGTTCTGTTCTGCTGTAAGCTTGTCAGCAGCAGTGAAAGGGTTAAGATGACTTCAGTGAAATAATGAAAACTTCTTTTAATTTAAAAAATGTACTATTGCCGTATCTGCCTATGCAATATATGGTGTGGATACATAACCTTTTTATATAGTAGGCTTTTTCCACAAGAAGTATAATATTTATTTGCATAAATCAGGATGCCATAAGCCCTCACATAACATATTAAAAACAAGACAATATTTGCCTCAAGTGAATAACATTGATTACGTTTGTTACACGGTATCTGAAAGTCAGTGGGATATATTAGGCAATATAAGTAAACATGTTGTCCCTGAAGTTGATGTGTTGAAAGCAGAAACAAAATGGGCATTGCAGTTTGTTGTGTATGGGGATGTGTATCCAAAGACTAGTCATGGTGTCTATGCTGACCCGTGTCCACAGCCAAAACTGTCTAAAATGGGCAAGTGGTGCCTGGTCTGATGAATCACATTTTTTTATATAAAATGATGTGGGTGGTGTGAATTGTTGACCTGGGAAATAGATGGTACCCAGATGCAATTTTGAGCAATGTTCTGCTGGGAAACCTTGGGTCCTGCCATTCAAGTGGATGTTACTTGACACGTACCACCTACCTAAACACTGTTGCTGAGCAAGCACACCCCTTCATGGAAACTATTTCCTAATGGCAATGGCCTTTTTTAGCAGAATGAGCCTGCCACACTGCAAAAATAGAAGTCTGAGGTGTTGACTTGGCCTTCACATTTTTCAGATCCTAAACCTTTAAGCATCTGTGGGATGTGCTAGAAAAAACAAGTCTGATCCATTGGGGCCCCACCTCACAATTTACAGAACTTAAAGGATCTGCTACTGATCACTTGGTGCCAGATACCACAGCATACCTTCAGAGGTCTAGTGGAGTCAAAGCCTTAACAGGTCAGGGCTGTTTTAACAACAAAAGTGGGGCCTATTCAAAATTAGGTGGGTGGTCAAAGTCATGGTTGATCAGTGTTCGATAGATAATGCTACTTTATCAAGCTTCTGGAGCATGGGATAAGTAATAGTATGGAAGGAGGATTAGTTTTTTGTCAACAACAATGCATCTTTACATTAGGTCACTGACAGGTAGGTGTTCCTTTAAGCTCACATAGCTCAGTAGGGAATAATGTACCTTGTATTTCCCCATTCTTCCTCATCATCACTGGGAGCATCCGATGAATTTTCTGCTTGGTTTTCTGTCTACGGCAGAAAAAACAAAGTAATATTAAAGCAGGGTTTTTTTTTTTTTCAAATTAAAATAACAAACGTCATAGTTTCTTGCTCTGTGTATTGGTTTTGACAGAGCAACCCCAAACATCCTCTTCTTGGATCCCCCGCCGGTGCTCCTGGTTCCATCCCCCTGACAAGTGACCACCATAGGAAGTCGCTTCCTATGGTGGTCACTTGTGTGGGCCCAAATGCTTGCATCTCTTCAGACACTCAGCCCATCTCGGCCCCAACCCTGTTCTCTGCTCATTGGTTTTGACTCAAAGCAGCAGGAGTCAATGGCTCTCACTGCTCTCAGCCAAGCCTGTTAGACCTGGGAGAACATGCTGCCCATACACAGTAACTGGAAAATTAAATTACTCTTTGAAGTGACATGACATTTTTACGTGTCTTTTTTTTTTTTTAAAGATTATATCTTCTGATGCTCTTTCCGGTGGCTACCTGTATACAAAGTAATGCAGCAAGCATCCCTCCTCTATAACAGAGATAAAAATCAATTAGCCACAAAAAGTGTATGGATTCAACCAAGCAGCTGATAGAAATGCATTGAGGGAGAGGTGCATTAAAGCAAAAATCAGTGTCCTGCACTAAAGCACAGAGAACATACCATCATAAATATGGCTATACCTAGAAGCAAGGGTTTATTTAGAAGCTGAATGTGTTAATGCCTTCCAGCACTGAGTAAGATCATTCCATATCCTTCCTGCACTTTTATTGAGCCTAAACAATAGAGGCATACATGGCAGGAGATGGTACCAGAGCCCCATCACCAAACTGGGGCATTCAGGATACAGAAAAGGCATGTGTAGAAACTTCTTCATATTTGTTTCTAACGTATTAAATTTCTAAATTGTTTAAACACCCCAGGTCTACCGTAACATGGACCAAGCATCAGATACATTTTTCATGTTAAAGTGAACCTGTGTGCTGGCAATGGATTTACCAATAATTACATAGTCTTAATGAGCTTTAAAACAAGCCCTCACTCACCTCTTTACCTACAGGCACTCTGGAGTAATTTATCCAGAAAAATCATCATGTGTTTTACTTTAACCATTTCCATACTGGGCACTTTTACCCCCTTCCTGCCCAGGCCATTTTTCAGGTTTCAGCGCTCTCTCACACTTTGAATGACAATTGCAATCATACAACACTGTACCCAAACTAAAATTTTATCATTCTCTTCACACAACTAGAGCTTTCTTTTGGTGGTATTTAATCACCGCTGGGATTTTTATTTTTTGCTAAATTAACAAAAAAGACTGACAATTTTGAAAAAAAAAAAAAAAAAAAAAAAAAAAAACAAAAAAAAAAAAAAACACGTTTTTCTTTGTTTGTTATAAAAGTTTGCAAATAATTGCTCTTCATAAATTTAGGCCAAGATGTATTCTGCTACATGTCTTTGGTGAAAATAACCCAAATTAGTATTTATTATTTAGTCTGTAGGAAAATTATAGAGTTCACAAAACTATGGTATAGATCTGACGGCCAATCTAATTTCTTGAGGTCCAAGAATGTCAGAACAGTACCAATATCCCCCCAAATGACCCCTTTTTGCAAAGTAGACAGTCCGACGTATTTCATAAGAGGCATGGCGAGTTTTTTTGAAGTTCTAATTTTTTTGTCATAATTTTTCGGAAAATGAAAAAAATTTTAAAAAGGATTTACCTTTTTTTTTTTTTTTTTACATACTGTCACCAGTGCAGTACAGCATCAACATATAACTGGTGTGGCGGTGATCAGTGACACTGACTGGTGACAGTACGAAAAAAAAAAAAGATAATTTTTTACTTTTATTAGTTTTATTACATTTTTTTTAAAGAATTTTTTTTCATATTTCACTATGGCCAAAGTAGTAGAATGTTACCATAGTAACATTGTACTACTTTGGGGAAGTGATCAGTATTTTTTTTTTTTTTTTTACACAATTTGCTTATAGCAGAGAATTACTTTGCTATAAACAAGCATTTACCTGATTACATCAATTCATTCAGGGTTTTTTTTTCTTGTACTTCGCTGTGATTTGGCTATGGCTAATCACATAACACAGATGGGCTGTGATTGGCCCAGCTTGTGCATGTGATCGCTGTGACCATTCACAGCTAGACACACTTGTATACAATGGAGCATGAAAAGAACACCATTGTATGCAACTGTCATGTGACCTGCTGTGATTGGTCACAGCAGGTCACATGGTACCGGCAACGGGGCCGGTACACAGATCTGTCATCGGCCATGTCCGAGGCACACGGCCGGTGACAGATCGCGCCGCAGAGTGGCCCTGCGGGCAGGAGGACTGCGCGTGCCTGAAAGGACGCTATATGGAGTCCACCTGGAGGGACAAGCTGTTCGCCCGGCCGCCATCTGGCTATAGGCCAGGTGGCAACTGGTTAATTGCAGTCTTGCTGAAGTGTATGCCTCACATTTACAGGTATTTATTACTCTCTCAGAGACCACAGTTCTCCCCTTCCAGTGTCAGCACCTACTTCCTGGCGTGAGATGCCAGCTCAGAGATTAAACAATTCAGTGAACATTGCTGCTTGTGCAGTTCTTAATGGCTGCAGCCTCTCTCAATGAAACTACGTTTCAGAGCTGCAGCCTGACTACTGGGAGATAGGTGACTGAGGAAATATTTTTTCCTGCCTGCAGCAGGCTTATGGGTTCATCACAACCTAAACAAACTTCACTTCACTGGAGCTCATGAAGGACTTTCTAATGATAAAAGGTAAAGCTGTTATGAACGTTACAACTGCTACTCTTGTAAAGTCCACCATAGGAAGTCAACTTTAAGCACAACAATAATGTAACAAAATTCAGTTCACTTACCTCTTCCTCATCCACGGAAGACAAGGTTGTTTCTTTCTCCTCACAAGAGAATTCTATGAACTCTTCTACATCACATCGCGGTGGTCTTCTGCGACTTGCTATCTTCTTTCGCAGATTACGGACACAGTAGTCACTCTGAATAATACCAAGGTACGTTTATAAACATCCAGGTATTCATGGGGTTAAACAAGCTCATGGCTGCTGCATACACGAATGTGGTGTGGACTTTTTCAGCCCCAATCAGCTTTCAAGTAAAAGTGATCCAAGCAGCTCTAAAGTCTTTATAAAGCGTACCTGTCACCTGTTATGCTATTGCTTAAGGGGCTTTTGTTAGCCCCCATGTGATAGCAGTAAAGTTAAATGAGAAAAAATTTTTTTTAAAAAGTGTTAAAATCATAAAATAAAAATGATAAAAGTACGCCCATACAAACTTGAATGCAAATGTTTATGTGTATGTAAACATTAATTGCGCCACATGTGAAATGTCACCGGTGGACAAATTTTGGGTACCATAGTTTCTCAGAATTTCATGGAAGCATACAATTTTAAGGCTCGACATGTGTGGTATCCATTTACTCAATGGAAACCCATCTTTAATATTGTAACAAAAATGGGTATCATTATTATTGCATTAAAAACCCTTAGTGTATTTTTTGTCCTGAAATTTTGCATTTGATAAACAAATATGATGCAACATAAAAAATACACTGCAATTACAACAATTTCATCCTATAGGGCAGTGGTCTCCAAACTACGGCCCAGGGGCCAGATCCGGCAATTTGCTTGACTCTATCCTGTCCTTGGGACACTATTCCTCCAACTGACACCAATCATGAGGCACCTTTCCTCCCACTGACACCATCAATGGGGCACTATTCCTCCTGCTAAGACCAATGACAAGGCACTACTCCTCCCACTGACACCGACGATGAGGCACTATTCCTCCCATTGATACCAACCATGGGCACTATTCCTCCTGCTAAAACAAATGATGGGGCAGTGTTTATTCCCACTGATGCCGAGACATTTTCTACTCACACTGGCCACAGTCCGGCCCCCTAAATCCTGAAGGACAGTAAACTTGCTCTTTGTTTAAAAAGTTTGGAGACCCCTGCTATAGGGCCTCTGTTTTCAGAAAATATATACAGTAATTGTTCAGGGATTTAAAGTAATGTCTAGTGTAAAATGCAGATTTTAATGTGTGGGAACATTTTTTTAAAAATGCACTGGTATTTAAAGCGAACCAGTGGGCGGTTTTAAAATTACAAGAGCTACCTAAGAGCACACACACCACAGGATTATTGCTAATTATGGTTTATTACCTAGAAAGTTCATTGTGTATTACTTTCCAATTCAGTTTTGCTTTGCACTTTACTACATGACTATGCGCTGCCATCTCAGTGTTCAATGAGACTGCTTCAGTGGCCGTATGTCGCTGGACCTACGGTGGTTACACAGGCGTCACCCCAGTACTGTTTTTTTTTTTAAAGCCGGTCAGCTTTCTTGCACAAACAATCCAAGCGGCTAAGTAGCTGCTCAACTGCATGTACAAGCAGGAAGGATGCCCCCTCCCTCCCACCTTTCTTTCAGGATCCCCCCACCCACCGTGAGACCGAGTAACCAGCCGGCACATCCACTGGCTGGCCAGACAGGTGAACAAATCTGGGACCAGCTTTGATTGTCTCTTCGTAAACCGGAAGGAATGACCTGACATCACTTCCAGTTTACTTGGAAGTACAAAATTGCACCATTAAAAAAAAAAAAACAAACAAAAAAAAAAAAAGATTCAAAAACATTGATCTTGGCGTTTTAAATGCTTTTAAGTGCAGAAGAGGGATTTAGAGTATTATAAACCCCAGACCCCTCCATAAAGAATACCTGTCACTGTGCCTATTGCTGTCACAGGGGATATTTACATTCCTTGTGACAGCAATAAAAGTGATTAAAAAAAAAAATTAAAGCAACAGTGTAAAAATTAAATTAAAAAATAAAAACAAAAAAAACACCAATTAAAGTGCCCTGTCCTCACGCACAAAGGCAAATGCACGCGTCGGTCCCGCACATACACAGCGATCGTCCCACACTTGAGGTATCACCACAAACGTCAGATCCTGGGCAGTAATTCTAGCACCAGACCTCCTCTGTAAATCTAAATTGGTAACCTGGGACGGCTTTTAAAATTTCACCAATGAATAGTAAAATTTTACTTTGTTTGGTATCTATTTATTCAGAGTAACATCTTTTAAACTTTAAAAAAAAAAATTGGGCAATGTATTGTTTTTTTTTGCACTGAAATTCAAAAATGTGTATTTTTTCCCTCCCAAAACACATTTTCTCTCTCTCTCGCTCTCTCTCTCTATGGTTTGGGGGCGGGCTCCAAGAAATTTTCTAGCAAAAAATACTTAATTTTAACATGTAAACAAAAAGTACCAGAAATGGCCTTGAGTTGAAGTGGATAATTTACAGTCTAATGAAATAACAGAAAAGAAGACTGCAAGCATCGCTTTTCGGGTGTTTTTTTTTTTTTTTTCAAACATGCACATAAAATGTATTCCTCACCTCCTGAGAAGAGTCTCGGAACTTCCTTTTGTGCTTCACAAAGACAAGTTTTTCCTGCTCACCTCTAGCAACTCTGTAATCTTCTTCCACTCTGCAAGGGGTTATAGAAAACAAAAAGCCTCAAGGAGTGAACTCTGAGGACCAAGAGTAATATAGGATAGGAAACCTGCCGAGCAACAATATATCAGTCACAGAAGCCCCTAATGCGGTTATTGACTATATACTAAAATCTGGGGCAGCACCCTCTCTGAAGCTAAAAGTTGCTGGAATGGCAGCTTCCATCACAGGTGGCTTGAACAAGCTTCTGGACAGATTACATTAAAGCTGAAGTTTAATCTGCTCATGTGTTGCATTCCCTGTTCCACACCTTACCCTCTCCATCGACATGCTAATTAATTTTATTTTAATAAAACCTTTCCAATTTTATTACATACTTCATTTTAAACTGGCCATGCATGGATCGAAAGAAGAAACCCTGTTATTTTGGTTCCTGCTAATGAGAAGCTGATCTATTGATTGACTTCTCCTGAACTGGCTTGTTGATTTTCGCTCAATCAAAGCATGTAGCCAACCGATTGCTGTGCTGATCATTGAATTCTGATACCGGGGGGAGACCCGCTGTCAGAATACAAAGACACAGTAGGGAGGATTGTTGCATCCACATTGAATGTGTGGATGGGGAATTGGTTCTGTGTGCTTAATTTTTCTTTTCTATGCAATACCAGCAGATTAAGGCTGGTGGGAGGGGCCAGTACGAGACTGTACATAGCTTTGGAAAACATGACGGCACTCTGCCCCAGTATTCCTCTATAATACCTCAGCTGTGATACAAGCAGTGGGTTGTCAGTCTGGGGGAGTGGGCATTCCTAGGCAGGATGCAATTGCATGTAGAGCACCCTAGGTAATACCCATATGTGATGCCAAGTCTCCAAGATTGAACTGTCAGGGACAATCAGGCTGGGGAGACAAAGCTTAGACTATGGTGGATGTCCTCCAGCCAGGAAGTGAGGCGAGCTCTAGCTGACTTACTGCAGCTTCTACGCTCACAGTGTGCAGTGAAATCAGAGTAAGAAATTCTGTACAGAAGAGGCGGTTTTATATTGAGCAAAACTAAAGGGAAAGCTGGAGCACAGTTTATTTACAGTTGTGTTCAACAATAATAGCAGTCAAACGTCACTAACCAGATCAATCACTGTGTTTTGTATAAATTATACTTCTACATGGCAAATAATTTACTACTAGGTGTTGTAGAGTAATAGAAATCCAACAGACCCAACAGTCATGACATGCATGCTGCTGAACGTGTAATTGAATCATTAATAGAAAGGGGAGTGTTGAAAATAATAGCAGTGTGGAGTTCAATAAGTGAGGTCATTCAGTCTGTGAATAAACAGGTGGCCCTTATTTAAGGAGGAAGGCAGCAAATGTTGTACATGCCGAGTATAGTGCATGTGAAAATCTGAGAGAAATGGGTCATTCCAGACATTGTTCAGAAGAACAGAGTACTTTGATTAAAAAGTTGATTGGAGAGGGAAAACAAAGAAGTACAGAAACGGATAGGCTGCTCAGCTAAAATGATCTCAAATGCTTTAAATTGGCAACCAAAACCAGAAAGACGTGGAAGAAAGCAAAAAACTACCATTCAAATGGATAGAAGAAAAGCCAAAATGGCAAAGACTCAGCCAATGATCAGCTCCAGGGTGATCAAAAAAGGTCTGCAACAATTAGAAGACGCCTATGTGAAGCCAAGCGATCAGCAAGAAGCTTCTGCAAAATTCCATTGTTGAAAAAAACGACGCGCTGAAGAGGTTACAATTTGCCAAAGAGCACATTGACTGGCCTAAAGAGAAATGGCGCAACATTTTGTGGACTGATGAAAGTAAGATTGTTCTTTTTGGGTCTAGTGGCGGAGACAGTTTGTCAGACGACCCCCAAACACTGAATTCAAGCCACAGTACACTGTGAAGACAGTGAAGCATGGTGGTGCAAGCATCATGATATGGGGATGTTTCTCATACTACCGTGTTGGGCCTATTTATCACATAACAGGGATCATGGATCAGTTTGAATACATCAGAATACTTGAAGAGGTCATGCTGCCTTATGCTGAAGAGGAAATGCCCTTGAAATGGGTGTTCCAACAAGACAACGACCCCAAACACACCAGTAAACGTGCAACATCTTGGTTCCAGACCAACAAGATTGACGTTATGGAGTGGCCGGCCCAATCCCCGGATCTTAATCCAATAGAAAACTTATGGGGTGAATTAAAGTTGATGTTTCTGAGGTAAAACCAAGAAACGCAGTGCAATCATCCTGGGCTAGAATTCCTGTTCACAGGGGCCAGAAGTTGATCGACTCCATACAACACAGATGTGAAGCTGTTCTCAGAAACAGTGCGACTACAACTCAATATTAGTTCCGCGATTCACAGGAAAGATAAATCTTTAAGCACTTTTCAGTTTATACAGTAAATGTTCGCGTTTGTAAAGAAAAATGCAGAGACTTCTATTTTTTTGAACAGCCTAATATTCCTTTTTGTTCACTTTCTGTAACGTAATAAATTTGAAAAAATTTTCTTCATGTTTAGATTTGGAATAGACTGTGTGGTGGTCCCAATGCATTTGCGTGTATGGAAATAAAAGGGATTATAAGGATTTTGAGCTTTACTCACTTTAACACATTATTTTTAACACAACTGTACATTGTCCTCGGTTCTTCATTTTACCTGGTTTGCAGCTCAAGGAATGTTTGTAGCTAGCTGCTAAACAGTAGATGAAAGTGTTACTAATCCCAGGACCCTGCATTCACTATATCTGGTCTCCCCGGACCCTGCATTCACTATATCTGGTCTCCCCGGACCCTGCATTCACTATATCTGGTCTCCCACAGTACACAGAACATGGAAATGCAATTATTTTAGTAAAAAATAAACTGCTAAATATCTTTTCTCATCAGCAGTTAGAGCAGTCCTATGACTTCTATCAGTATCCAGCAGAGCACTGTTTAAAGCCTGTAGGAAGAGTTTTCTCAAGGAAGATGCAGGACCCCTGACCTCTGTCTGGACAGTGCTGATTGGCCCTGTGCTGATCACTTGCAATCCCAAAATAGAAAAAAACCTCTCTGCAATGCACACAAAATTGAGCATGTGCAGAGTGACTCCACAGGATATGCCTTATCAGGAGATAAGAGGGGAACACTGGAAGGGGAGGATCAGAGAAGTTGGGATCAAACAGCCTTTTTAAACAATGCAGAGGATTAACCCCTTAGGTTCCACAGTGAGTATAACAAGCATGCTTTACTGCATATACATACTGATTGCACTGTTGTGGGTTTAGTAACACTTTAAGCTTAATTTATACAGAAGAGCATCTTCTCCCTTATTCACCCTAATGACCATGAATGCTGTAGCCAAACTAGAGAAGGCATGAAGAGATTTGATCAAAGGAAAGAGCAAGTGGCATACAAAGCTTGGAAGTGAAAAAAAAAAAAAAGTGAACCCCATGAGAGGAGAAACAATGGGATGGAACATAAATGTACTGCATATTATGGATAGGTAACTTGGAGGCTTTCAGAGAACAAGATTAACAGTGCTGGATGTACTGTAAGTTTACATTTTGGGCAGGAATCGAAGTGAAGTGAAGGAGATATGTTACAGTCATGAGGTTGAGCCATTAGAATAATGACTGGTCAATGATTGAAATACTATTAAGAACGTTAGTGATGTACAACTGTGCCATCCTGTGTGAAGGTGACTACAGACACTAGGGGGTTTATTTACTAAAGCTGGGGAGTGCAAAATCAGACTCACTTCTGCATAGAAACCAATCAGCTTCCAGGTTTCATTGCCAAAGCTTCATTGAACAAGCTGAGGTTAGAAGCTGATTGGTTTCTATCCAGAAGGGAGTCTGATTTTGCACTCTCCAGCTTTAGTAAATAAACCCCTAGGTGACAGCTAATCATGTGTGGCTTGACTGCTGAACAATCCTTGTACAAACATGTACATGTGTGATTATTAGGCAGAGAAGAAAGCGCTCAAGCACTGGCTTGTCAGAGGGGAAGACAACAGCAATTATCCAGGAAAATCCATCTTGAAAGTCTGATTCGTGCCCACAGCAAGCTCTGTCAGAGGACGTCATGTAAGGTTGGAAGTGCATGCACATGTGAAACTACTGAATGTTTTTGTTAAAGGTGAACTCCGAGATAAGCAAATGTCATCTAAATATAAGAGGTATGGATCTTGGTGTTCTTTGTGCATTTCTTCAAGATCTGTGCTGTACTTTAAAATGGAAAGCTCCTGCACAGATGCCACGTCTCACACTGGAGTATGTTTGAACATCATGCTGGCAACATTTTCTTACGTTTATTTAGCATGTACACAAGTAAAATAAATTCTAGCTCTCAGAATGGAATTTTAAACTCTTGAAATTAAGACTTTGTGAGCAAACGTGTGTAATATACTGACCGGCAAATCAGATTTCTGTACATTTTTTTTTCTACTCCTGTATACACACAGAGCATGTTTATGCACCTGTGTGTACCAGCACAATGAAAACTATGGGTTGCATCTAGAATAAAAAAAAAAAAAGCCCAAAACGCTGTTTTTAGGCAGTGGTAAGTAAGAGGCTCTAAAGACCAGTCACTCATGCTCTTTCCATTTGCAGGGTGACTGGTGTTTCTGTCCCCTCCTGTAGTTTTAAGTAGGCGACCTGTAGTGGGTAGAGACTGGTGGGTCCTTCTTACAGTTCTGTACGGGCTATGTGCAGCATGGTGGAGATGTCAGTGTGACTTTTACAAAGGTAATATCTGTGTTTGAAAAGAAATTTGGTGCACACAGTGTAATTAAATACTTTATGCCTATACAGGAATGTATTTAAATGAACATTTTTGTGCCTTGGGTTCAGTTTAACTGCTTGTTGTTCGTCCTGTAGTGGAAGTACTGCATCTCCTGGTAGGGGGATGCACGCAAGCCACACCGCCATTCGTGGCCTTGGCGGTCAACCACTGGGTCCTGGACAGCGATTGCCGAGCATCTCCAAGGGGGGGGGGTGGGGCGTTTGTAAACAAAACTGTTTTCTCTCCCTTGTCAGTTCCTGCACATGGCCATGCAAAGCAGTGTGCTTACAGTGAAGCACAAACACAGCTCAGTATGTAAACAGGTACACAGCACACAGCTGACCCTTTGATCTCCCCACGTTAACCCCCTAATGCCCAGTGCCATTAGTACAGTGTCAGTGCTTTTTATTATAACTGATCACTGTATTGGTATCACTGGAGATGTCAGTGACGCCAAGTCAGTTCCTCCCCAGTGTCAGAATGTCTGCCGCAGTCTCGCTATAAGCTGCTGATCGCTACCATTACTAGTACAAAATGAATTAAAAAAATCCCAGTATCTATACCGCCATTTGTAAACGCTATAACTTTCATGTAAACAAATTAATTTTTTTTTAGCAAAGACATGTAGCAGAATACATTTAACAAAAGTGGGACTTGCTTGGGCAATATGAGGCCTAGGCAGCGCCAGCTGTAGCGTCCACTGGAAAAGAGTTTGAGGGTGACAATGCAGGAGAACTGTGAGACAGTCTCATGGTGCTGTCACTCTATAATAGCAAATGCCTAAACAAGGACATTTATTGAAATAATCCCTGATGATTTTTCATGAAAGTTAAAAAAAACTTAAAATCTAAATCTCTTTAGTTCTCATCTCTCACAGGTGCTCTCTAGGTTGTGTGGAAGATTGTTAATGTAACTCTTGTTCCATAAACTTACCTGAATATGCTACTTGGTATTTCTGGAACTAATACTCTCCTTTTCCAAGCTAACAGATCTCTCTCGGTGGCGATTTGACTACGGGGTGAATTGTGATGCATCTGACGGACGCCCTCCACCTGTCCACTGCGTCTTAGACCAATATTCGGAGGAGATATAATGTCTGAATACAAGGACAATCATTTTACAAGCTAAGAATTGCTTGTTACATGTCACAAACTTATGTATAGTAAATAGCAGAAACAGCAAAATTAAAAGAACTTGCAGCTTATGAATTACCTGACAGAGAAACAAAGAGGTTGCTGTCTGCTAGCTCTCTGACTGTTCTGTTTAAGCTGGATATCCCTGTAGAGTTACTTTTTTTTTTTTTTTTCATTCAACCAGTGGGTTGAACGAACAAAACAAAACAAAAAAAAAAAAAAAAAAACACCTGCATCCATGCAAGCGATGTGGATGCAAGGATCTCCCCCTCTGCAGGTGGAGATTGTGACAGCGGGGACTCCCACATCAGAATACACTAAGCAGCACTGCAGCCTCTGGCTAAAGCTGCCGATCAAACGCTGGTTTTCCAGCAGAACCATCTGAGAGAAGCCTGTCTCACGACTGGCTTCTGTTGAACAGACAGGGCTACTACAAACAGATCGAAATTCAGCTGGTTTCTGCTCAACCAGCTAAATATTTATATGTGTATACCCTGCCTACACCTCTGGCTTCAGCACCAGAAAACTGTACACAGACATTCCCCTTCTTAAAAGAGGAACAGTACTCAAAAAAAAAAAAAAAAAAAAAAAATAAAAAATTATATATATATATATATATATATATATATATATATATATATATATATATATATATATATATATATATATATGTTCTTTAGCAAGGAACATACATTCCATATTAACAATTACGCTACCAAAATTAGTGTGTGCTGTAAATCGCCTATTTATTCTTGCTGGAGGCTGCCATTTTACTGAAGCCCAGAGCAGCATTAAATCTTTAGGCTGTCAACAGATCGGCCTCTACAAATTAGGCACAGTGCCAAAAATAGACAGCAACTGAGCATGTGCAGAGCAGGATGAGACAGTGTACTGCCAGATTTTAAACAGTATAGGCACTTATTTTTAAACGTTTTACATAGCTACACCTGCAAAAGAGGCCAGCCTGAAGTGATCTAGCAGAACTTAAATTTTCTGACTAAAATTCATATTAATTTGGTATAAAAAGGTTAAAACAATGCATGTTGAAAGATCAAACTGACCTCTTCTTCCAGAATCTCCCAGGGGAGCCTGTCTGCTGGAACTAGGCTCTTGTTCCTAGGCCGCGTCTCTGATCCTGCTGCAGTTGTAGCCGTCTGATCATCCCATCCAGGATGCTAGGTTCTTGGTTTTGGTGATCATAGTTTGTCTGCTGGCTGATTACTTGTTCCACAACTTCACCATCACCTGTCAAACACAGAAGCATCACTTAGTATATATTCATGCCACAAATCTAAGATGTCTCAGCTGGATGCACGTGATTTAATTTAAAGTCGTGGATCAGTTTTAATTCAAAAACTGTGGCAGTTCACACAATGATTTTAATTCCAACCAGTTTTCAATCAAACTAAAGCTGGCCATACATGAATCAAAATGAATGCTCCTAGTGTCTTCCATCTAATATCAGGACTTCCTCAAAGCTATTACATGCTCATAGCCTTGTACTTTAAGAAAGCTGAGAGGAACTTATGAAAATGTCAACAGATTGCTTATTACATTCAGTGGGAGCTGTACTTCCACCAGTAGGCAAACAAGAAAATCTGTGGGATTTAACCGTTTCCAGACCGCACTATAGTAGATATGCTGCTACAGAGCAGCAGGGTTGCGCAAAATCCCGTATATATACACACACACATGTGATTTTGCATTTACGGGTAGGGGACGTGCACCCTTACCAGCACCGCCATTTGCGGCTGCCAATCACCGGGTCCCAGCCGATGATTACTCGCCAGCGCCCGGTGATTGCCGAGGATCTCCGATGGGGAGGGGAGCAGTATGTAAACAATACAGTTCTCCTCACTGTCTGCTCGTGCACACTACTTTGGTTGACTGTGTGATTACAGTGAAGTGCACACACAGAGCTTACTGTGAAACAGCACACAGTTAACCCTTTGATCACCCCTCATGTTAACCCCTAATGCCCAGTGCCATTAGTACAGTGTCAGTGCTTTTTATTATAACTGATCACTGTATTGGTATCACTGGAGATGTCAGTGACGCCAAGTCAGTTCCCCCCAGTGTCAGAATGCCCGCTGCAGTCCCGCTACAAGTTGCTGATCACCGCCATTACTAGTAAAAATTAAAAAAAATTCAAGTATATATACCGCCATTTGTAAACGCTATAATTTTCACATAAACCAATTAATTTACACGTATTTTTTTTTTTTTTTTTTTTAGCAAAGACATGTGGCAGAATACATTTTTGCCTAAATTTATCACGAAATTATTTTTTTAATTTTTTTTACTGGACATGTTTAATAGCAAAAAGTCAAAAATGTTTTTTTTTTTTCCCTCAAAATTGTTGGTCTTTTTTGTTTATAGCGCAAAAAAAAAAAAAACCCACGCACAGGCGATCAAATACCACCGAAAGAAAGCTCAATTCGTGGTGCATTTGGGTGCAGTTTTGCATGACCGCACAATTGTCAAAGTAACGCAGCGCCGTAATTAATAAAAAATGGCCTGGTCAGGAAGGGGGGAAAATCCTCAGGAGGGCAATTAAAAAAAAAAAAAAAAAAAAAAAAAAAAAAAAAAAAGGATAGTGCTCGTTATGGGAGGTAGCTTTTGAGTATATAGTCTTCAACCGTTTTAAGACAAAGAAAAAAAAAAAAAAGATAAAATTGTTAAATAAAATGAAAGCGCAACTCGAGCCAAATTTTAAAATTGTGGATATAGTCAACTTTTTGTTGCTTCCTTTGTCATAATTTGGGGTATTTCTCTTGCCATCAGAGTGGTATCAGAACAGAAAGGTGAACCTCACCCTTCATAGGGGATACAGAAAGCAATAATGCAAGCATTCTAGCAGAGTGGGGAAGGGTTGAAACTTCTTTCAGGGGGTTTAGTTCCATCCATCTCCATGAAGGAGATTCGCCCATGCATCCTTTCCAGGTGATGAGTCGGACAGAACAGAAGAGAACACTTTATGAAAGACACAAATCATTTGAACATGACAGGCATTCTAACTATTTTCCGGGAAAACCTCATCTGATAAGCAGAAGCACGAGTGACATGGTCAACTGACCGGAGACAAAAGGACATTGCGCAGGATTGTGACCTGGAATAAGAAAACAACTGCTGCAAAAATTACTGCAGAGCTCAATCTTAGTCTTCACAATACGAAGATTGAGCTCTGCAGTCACTTTTGCAGCAGTTGTTTTCTTATTCCAGGTCACAATCCTACAAAATGTCCTTTTATATCTCCTGGTCAGTTGACCATGTCACTCGTGCTTCTGCTTATCAAACGTTTTCCCAGAAACTGTATATGTTGTCATAACCTCTGATACTGTACCTCGCAAGACGGCAAATAAGTTGTCAACTTCAGTCTCAGAGGCACCAGCTAAGCCAGCAATGGGCAAACTACGGCCCGGCGGACCTTTTAATCCGGCCCGCGGAGCGTGATACTGTCAGGATGGCTGTCAGGATGTGTGTAGGCGGGGCAGCGTGACGAACGTGAGGGGAGCTAGGCTCCTCTCACAGTCCGCCCTGAAGACCGGAACGGCGCGGGAACACGGCGAGAGGAACGCGCGGAGCAAAGGTAAGTAAACTGACACAGGGGGGACTTGGCTTACTACTTGGGGGGGAATAGTACTACTACTATATGGGGGATGAATTACTATATGGGGGAAATACTATATGGGGGATGAATTACTATATGGGGGATGAATTACTATATGGGGGATGAATTACTATATGGGGGATTAATTACTATATGGGGGATTAATTACTATGCTTACTATGGGGGAATATTACTATACTTACTATGGATGACACATACACATCATTCATCTACTCTTGGTCCGGCCCCCGGGTCCAATATATGAACCCATTGAGGCCCTCAAGTCAAAAAGTTTGCCCACCCCTGAGCTAAAGCGGTACCAACAATTTGCCCTCTTTGAAGCTCAGTAAGCTCTGACATTACTCTGTATTACTACCAGTGCACTCAAGAACCCGCTTGATAAATCTTTTTGCAATATGCATCTTTCATAGGGATGAACAGTACTCAAAGGAAACATCCTAAGAATACACTGCAGCTCAACTGCAACACATGGACACAGTGTGATGTATAACCCACCTGAATCTGAACAGTCTAAACCAAGTTTTCAATGTTTTTTTTTTTTTTTTTTTAAAGCTAAAAGTCTTACTAGTCTCCATGTATCCCAGCTGAGGAATCAGGTGCTCATCCGCACAGTTTTCCCTCCCAGGTACCAGGCGCTGGTACTTGGTTGGATGTGGGTTTCCATCAACATCTACCAGAAAAGGTGGTGGCATGAGGTGAGGAGCTTGTTGGGTTTGTTCATCAAGGACAAAATGATTTGCATCACGACAAAGAGGTCTGTAGTCTGTGTGGAAGAACATTTGATCTGGAATCTGAAAAAGATAAATATATTTCACGATTAAAAATGTAGTTCAATTTGAATCGCAAAAGGGCTGGCAAGGCTCTGGCTCCACTGACCGGAGATGAAGCAGAGCTGATCAAATTTTGACAAAAGTGCAGGAGCTGGAGCATAGGTAAAACTAGGACAGAGGTGAGCTCTGACCTGGGTCGGTATGTGATGCATTTTGGGGTAGCACAATAAAAATTATATGTAATATATACATTGTCAATATTAATACGTTTATGGACACATTGTTTGTGAACCGAGTTGCATCATATTTTGAAAGTGATTTTGTTGATACATTTTATATAGTATTATTTTAACACTTTTTCTTGTTTTAAATAGTTTAACACTTGAGATTTAGTTTTTTCTCTGTGTTTACGGACACTGAATAACAGTTGAGATTTTGAGCATGGCATACAGTGTTTCTTTGCACACTCCACAGTGAGTTTAGTGACTGCAGCTGCATAATTATTTATTTTATCATTGGCGCAGAGCTTTTCATATTTATAAAAATATTGGAGTGCAAGCCATCAAAGCACTCTAGCTTCTTTAAAAGGAAAAGTATAGTAAAAGCTCATTTGGTTCTACTTCTCCTGTAGGTCACAGGAGTGCACTTAGTTCTCCACTCTTGTGACCCATATTCAGCCAACAGCAAGCTGAAGTCCATTGTCAGCTGACATCATTCAGCCAGTCCGGACTCTGGAGGGATCCAGACTTTATTATCGGATCATGTGATTGCTCAGATCTTAGAGGCAGCAAGGGACGATGCAGCATCGGACCAGTGCTGCATCCACTTAGGCAAGTCATTTTTTTTTTACTTCTCTTTTAAAGCGATACTAAAGGTCGGCAGCTTGCTATGAGGGCACCCGCTACTCCATTATTCCATTCACACACGGAGCCGTGGCTTGGCCCCACCCCTCTCTCTCTACACATTGGCAATCTGGCTTTGATTGACAACAGCAGCGGGAGCCTATGTCTCCAGCTTGCTGTCTCAGCCATGCATGCATGCATGGAATGCTTGAAGGTAAAAACTTTGAGTCTTTACAACTGCTTTAAGCAATATGAAAAGTGTGAAATATGCATTTTATATATTTAACAAAAAGTACAACTTACCAACTAGACACATGAGTTGCATTGATTGCAAATAATTTAGGACATACAGATAGGGATTAGTGTCTGAGATGGAGTACCAGTCACACTTCACAGCTAAGGGGTAAGTAGAGATGATGTGACTCTTTGTAAAGTGTGTGTAAAGATGCGCCTAGGATAATTGTTCACAGAAAATCTTAGAGGCACATAAAATATCCTGAATATACCTATGAATTTGCATTCCCACAACATTCGCTCTTTGTGTTACAATGCTGAAGGGAAGTTTTAGGTCACAAAAAAGGTAATTTAGCCTTTGGTGTCTCCTGAAGAAATGAGTCGCTACTGGGAGCTCAACTTGTGATTGATAGTGAATCTGTGTAGATTGATTGTGTTGACGTAGCGTTTATCCAGTTTTTCACCCACAGGGATCTGTAGGATGGACATTTTGCACATTAGATTGGGTATACCAAATCTGAGATTTGCTTGTATTCTGTATTGGTTCTGTAAACCTGGTAATTGTACCCTGCCAGTGGCATATACATTGTGTGCAGGTTCCACATCTTTTCTTCCTGAATGGGGATGTGATGTTCTGTTCTGATGTGTTGAGTAACTTAAGTTATTTTAGGTTTGGAGGATGTCAGTAAGCTAGCAGAGGGAGCTAAGGTAATATTTATCAAAATCTTCGATCTCTATGAAGGAGGGGCTGCAGTTCTTTTGCTACTCCACGAAAGACTTTCTGAAGTGGGTTAAGGTGACCACTAGTGGCACAGGATTTTTTCTATTCTGGATCGGTTTGTAAAGAAGTTTGGCTCCAGGGATGCCGACTCCTTTTCATGTCTGAATGTTGGTTGTTTCAGGCTTGTGTTCTTGTTTTAGTTATTCACTCCTGAGAAGTGACTGTCTCTATCCAGTCTCAGGTCAGACACGGTTGCTGCTGCTGTATGTGTCTTATGGACACAGAGCAAGGCTTGGGAGCGATCACACAGCAGTGCCCCCATAGCAAGCGGCTTGCTTTTGGAGGCACTGTTCAAGTGGGGAGAAGCCAGGGGCACAGACAGGGGCCCCCTAGAGGAGGATCAGGGCTGTGAAAAATCATTGCACAAAACAGAGAAGTATGATATATAAAAAAAAAAACACTTAAATATCACGTTAAAAATTTTGAATTCTTCCTACAGCAGATTGATATTAGATTAAATCAGACCTACCTTATCATATACTTTACTGCTGCCAAAGCCAAAAATCAGTAGATGTCCATGGGAATCTGTACCCGCCATGTGCTGCCCATTGTTGGACAGTTTGCAGTCCAAAATGGCACCGTGCCCTTGTCCTTCAATCTTGGATTAAAAAATATAGAATAGAATCATGCATTTATTCCCTAAGGATGGAAGGTTATAATAATACCCACTTCAATGGTATTGCTTCTCAATTATGCTAAAACCAGAGTTACAATCTAATAAAAATGTTATACTGAATGCTTCCAAAATTGTTCAGTATGCAATCATGTTGTGCTTCACCCCTTCATGACAGAGGGTAAAACAAATCCTAATGCCTAAACACAATTTTGCAACTTTGACGTGTTAGTAAAACTGTACTTATAACTAAGGGTATCCAGGTGAATTATACATTCAAGACAAATTGGGCTTTCATTTGGTGGTAAATGGTAATGGGTACCTCCTGATTTTTTTTTTTTATCAAAAGGAAAAATGGCCCAAATAGTAAAAAAATTATCTTCTTTAACCACTTACCCGCTGCCGTATAGCAGATATACTGCTACACAGTGGCACAGGTGCACAAAATCACGTATATATACACACACACGTGCTTTTTGCATGCTCAGATAGGGGGCATACGTGAACCAGAATTTTTTTCACAGTCTTCCTCCCAGTCAGATTGGGTGCACAGCACAGCAATCCCCAATCATTGTGTTTACAGTGAAGCACCCCCCACCCCCTAATAAAACACTCCCTACCCACAGTTAACTCTTTGATCGCCCCTCACATTAACCCCTTCCTGCCCAGTGTCGTAGTACAGTGTCAGTGCTGTTTTCTTAGCATGGATTACTGTATTGGTGTCACTGGAGATGTCAGTAACACCAAGTTAGCTCCCTCCCCCCAGTGTCAGAATGCCGGCTGCAGTCCTGCTAAAAGACGCTGATTACCGCCATTACAAGTATGGAAAAAAATAAAATCCCAGTATCTATACCGCCATTTGTAAATGCTATAACTTTCACATAAACCAATTAATTTACACGTATTAGAATTTTTTTTTTTAAGCAAAGACATGTAGCAGAATACATTTTAGCCTAAATTGGATCTAAATTTTTTTTTTACTGGACATGTTTAATAGCAAAAAGTCCAAAATATTGTTTATTTTTCAAAATTGTTGGTCTTTTTTTGCTTATAGTACAAAAAATGAAAAAAGCACAGGCGATCAAATACCACTGTAAGAAAGCTCAATTCGTGGGAAAAAATGGACATAAATTTTATCTGGGTACGGCATTGCATGACCGCGCAATTGTCAGTTAGAATAATGCAGCGCCAGAACGCAAAATGGCCTGGTCAGGAAGGGAGTAAATCCTCAGGAGGGCAAGTGGTTAAATGTATTTGTATTTTTGTTGCTACTACCATAACCTACAACCCAAGAACCCCACAAAATAGTTTTCCTACTCCTGACTATAGCAGCGATACCACATGTCTGTATGTTATTTGTTGTTTGTAACTGTTGTAGGGTCCAGAAAACAATGGTGCGCCATTTTGCTTTTTTTTTTTACCCCCACCTGAATTTTTTTTTTTTTTTTTGATCTAGCTCAAACCTTGATCTAGCTATTTTTGTATTTCAATGGTTTTTATTAATTTAGAACAATTAACACAGGAGCAACAAATCACGCCCACGCAGGGGCTATCAATTGCACATAGATGAACTAGAAATTAGAGAAATCAGTGCTCTAACACCAACAGGGCAAAAGATACGCCCACACAGGGGCCATCAATGGCCTAGCTATTTATTTTTTACACACACTTTTGTTTATATTTTACGCCTGTCCAGGAGAGAAAGATCTACTGTATATTTCTCTCCATTCAGAAAAGAAAGCATAAAAAAGGAATGCTTTACAGTCATTGATCACTGCAATAGCCAATCAGAGGCTATCAGGTGATTGGATACCAGGCTTTCCAGTTCACATCGTTCGTACGGGACCCAGGGCTCTTCATACAAGTTCGGTCCCTGTGTTGAGAGCGTGCTGTGCAATGTGCTCCCAGTACAAAGACATGTACACATATATGTGGCCTCATGGAAGAAGACCTATTTCAGTGAGTCCACACGTGTACATGTGGCAGAAAGGGGTTAAGGAGGACTCTAAGACATCAACTTGTACATTTAAAGCAAACTGTGATTGGTCTGTGTAAAGTACATTCCATGGCTAATTTATACTTCCTTTCCATGCAACCGGCAATGACCCCCACCTGTATTCCTTCCTAGGCTGCAGGTGCCACCAAAATAACTAGTGTCCGCACACAGGGGGTGCAGTGCCATCACCCCATCACGTGACAGTGCTCAGGACACATGTTGCCCCATACTCTAAGGAATGGAGTATTGTGCAGTGGTGACCACAGAAAGAGCAGCAGGGGAGCACTGGAGATGCAAGATTAAAATGTTCAGGGTGGAATACGCACAGATGCTGTCACTTTGCCTTAAAACAGGAAAGGTGACAAGGTATGCTTAAAGCTTGACTCCAGGTACAGTTATTTTTATCAATTTTTAGCACTTTCATTAACACTATCAATTTGTTATTATTTCAGACCTTTCTTAGCTATGCTGAGTGCTGCTAATATGTACAGTGGGGAGCTGCACTTCCTGCTACCTGCTGCACTGAAATGGGGTCTATGTATGACACCAGTTCCAGTATTGTGTCTCTACCCTGCTCACTTTCTTGTGTCATTCACAAAGTACAATGATGGTATTTATGCTGTGCTTTTGAATAGATCTGCAGGGGGAGGGGGGCGAATGCACAACACTGGAACTGGTGTCATGAGTAAACCCTATTCCAATGCAGTGAGAAGCGTGAACCGTTGCTCCCTACATAGAGAGCACTGAATAAATTGAGTGTTCATGTTAGTATCTCAAAAACTCAAGATCCTTTAACAATGCTTTCCAGTGCATAATTACAGATCCTAAACACCTATCTACGTAAGCCATCAGTCATAGAGATGAGAATACATGAGAAGGTAGGACATATGAACAGCGTGAAATACAACATCCAGAAATGAGGGCATCAGCCGATATGTCTTTAAAAAAGTTTCATGTAGCAAGTTACATCTTGGTCACCTTTCATTGTTCTACTTCAAGCCATTTTCATAGTTTCCATAAAGAACTTACCGCATTGAAGCAATGCATTACTTTAACACCATTAACGATGTCCCATAGGAAGAGGTTTCCATCATACCCTGCAGATAACATCACCCTGTGATCAAATGGATGAGGCTCCAAGACAAAAATGTCGTTTTGATGACCCTGTATGTAAAGAATTTGGGAAAAAAACCCACAAACTTAAGATCAACAACAGATCAAACTAGAACAAATTTAAGAAGAGTTCAAGCAGCAGTGGGCAAACCAGCTGTCACCCCACAATAGTTGCTTCAGATTACATCAGTAACTTTTGCCCCAATAAGAGCAATTTACAGCTCCAATGCAAGTCTATTATTTGCTTCTCTCCATGATTAAACATTTTGTGGAGGTGAAACACATGGAAGAAAGGCGAGATGTTGAGATTCCTCTACTTATTAAAGCTGGTTTTACAAGAGCGATTGCATCAGCGTACCACCATTTCCACTCCACCATTTGCTTGCCACTGCGTCTTTGTAGTAAGAGGTTGCAAAGGGGTAACCCTGCTTCAGACAATCTGGTTTTAATGAGGCATTGGACACTGACCCATGGTAAAGTGGCCAGCAGGACACATTTTGTTTATAAAACAAATAACCTAGTACACCATATACAAAAGATGCACCAAAATAAAGGTAGTAGAGAAATGTTTAATTCTTCAAAGTAGTACCCCAGGCTCACACAACGTGTAACCTATCAAGGACATTCTATATCATAGCTAACCAGCTGCTGTAATCAGTGAGCTGTTCTACTGCAGATAAATTCATACTAAATTTTAATATGAAGAGCTGTCACACATCAGTTGATGCAAGTCATGACCTTTTCTTGTCATCTAAATTTTTATTATACAGGCTTGCTGTGTTTACTAATTAGCAATAGCACATCAGAGTTGGGCAGAACAATTAGGGATCAAGGCATCTCTAGTTTGTTACCATTCGATTTGTAAGTTAGTAGCTCCTTGTAAATAATGTGTTGGATGTTACAAGGTCACTGTGGCATAAGCACTTCAAATGTACACATGAGATGCTATTCAGGTACCCAATATCCTTACAAATGTTTGCAGCTCATGCATGGGCAGTTTAGGTAGTCTCCAAATGCACCAGAGGCCTACTAAAACATTTTAAAGCAGAGTGGTGACAGCTCACATTTTCTACATGGACCTGGCCAGACAATGTCAATAACAGCTTAAAATAAAACAAGATCAACGCAATTCGCAGGGACATCGCCACTACACAGACACCCACCCCACTTAGCATTCCTCACACCATACCCCCCTCAACACTGTCCTCCTTTGACCTCGCTACCACCAAAGAGGTCCTTAAGGTCTTCTGAGAAGCCCACCTCAACGTCTGCCCCCTGGACCCCGTCCCCTCACAACTCCTTCGGTCACCCTCCTCTTCCATCCTATGTTCCCTCACTCACATCTTCAATCTCTCCTTCTCTACAGGTGCCTTCCCCTCCCCTCTAAAGCACGCGCACGTCACTCCCATACTTAAGAAACCCTCCCTGGACCCCACCAACCTGAACAACCTTAGACCCATCTCCTTGCTGCCATTTACCTCTAAACTCCTAGAACGCTTAGTCTACAATCATCTGAGCTCCCACCGCACCGACAACAACCTTCTCGACACTTTACAGTCTGGCTTTCACCCTCTACACTCCACCGAAACTGCCCTACTAAAGCTCTCTAATGACCCTAACAACTGCTAAAACCAACGGCTACTATTCAATACTCCTACTACTCGACCTCTCCGCGGCTTTTGACACGGTTGACCATCACCTCCTCCTCAAAAAAAACTACACTCTCTTGGCCTCAGAGACTTCGCTCTCTCCTGGTTCTCCTCCTATCTATCACAGTGCTCCTTCAGTGTTACCTATAACTCTGCCTCCTCCTCCTCACTCCCTCTCTCTGTTGGGGTCCCCCAAGGTTCTGTCCTTGGACCCCTTCTCTTCTCCATCTACACCTCCTCCCTTGGTAACTTGATAAACTCCCACGGCTTCAATTACCATCTCTATGCTGATGACACACAAATCTGTCTACCCCTCACCTCACCCCTTCAGTTTCCACCCGCATCGCTAGCCTAATAAGCGACATATCGGCTTGGATGTCACTCCACTTCCTCAAACTCAATGTTTCCAAAACTGAGCTCCTAGCATTCCCCCCAGCCCGTGCCCCCTCCCCTGACTTCTCCATAAATATCGCTAACACCATCCTCAGTCCATCCCCTCATGCCAGGGTACTAGGTGTCATCCTAGACTCCAATCTGTCCTTCCAGCCCCAGATCCAATCTCTAACAAAATCATGTAGACTTCACCTCCGCAACATCTCCAAGATACGACCTTTCCTAACCTTGTAAACCACTAAGCAACTTATTCACTCCCTATATATATATATATCTCACCTTGACTATTGTAACTCCCTCCTCATTGGTCTACCTCATCGCAGGCTATCCCCCCTCCAGTCTATCATGAACGCTGCTGCCAGACTCATCCACCTTAACTAACCGTTCTGTATCTGCCACCCCTCTCTGCCAATCCCTCCACTGGCCTCCACTCAGTGTCCTCCACCCCTCTCTGCCAATCCCTCCTCTGGCTCCAGTTGCCCAACGGATAAAATTAAAAACTCTAACACTGCCCCAATTTACATAACCGATCTTATCTCTAAATATCACCCAAACCGTACACTCCGCTCCTCGCAAGACCTCTTACTCTCTAGCTCCCTTATCTCCTCCTCCCATGCTAGTCTCCAAGACTTCTCCAGGGCATCACCCATCCTCTGGAACTCCCTACCCCAATCTATCAGACTATCACCTACTCTACTTGCCTTTCGGCGATCATTGAAAACCTCTCTCTTCAGGGAAGCCTATCCCGCCCTCTGCTAATTCTGGAATCCTCTACTCTTCCAACCACTCCATCCCCCACAGTGACTACCTACTGTGCCATTCACCCCTCCCTCCTAGATTGTTAGCTCCAAGGAGCAGGGCCCTCAAATCACACTTGTATTCAACTGTATTGTTACTGTATTGTCTCCCACTATAATGTAAAGCGCTGAGCAAACCGTTGGCGCTATATAAATCCTGTATAATAACAGCTTCTGCACAGAAAGTTATCCTTATCCAACATCGCACGGTCTAATGTTCACTGTGGTAGTAAAGATCAAAAATACAAAAGCCAGCTTTAGCTCAGTCCCCCTTTCACAGAACACACCACGACCCTCCCCAACACGTTTAGCCCGGATGGTCAGGAGGAGACGAAGATGAAGCTGATTTTTGATATTCACTGCTGCAGTTACCATTACCAGTGTGGAGCCCCAAACTGTCAATGTTAGATACAAACCATGCTTTAGTGCAGATATTTAAAACAAATATACATCATTTCCTAGTGTTATGGTCTGAAACTCACCTTCAGAACATGTAGTAGGCTGCCAGTATGTGAATCCCAGACCTTGAGCAGGTGGGAACTACACGCAGTCACAACAAAACTGTCAGTTAGATCCCATGCAATCATGAGGACTTTTGGTTTAGAATATTGTGGAATATCGTTGCATTTGTATCTAGATGTAAAAATAAGTTTGGTCAATAATAACAAACGCAGAAAGCGAAAGTACTTTCATGCACTCAAAATCTTGCTTCTGCCCAATACATTGTTAAAGAGAAAGCCAACTGACAGAAGGTAAAGGGGGTCAATAGTAGAGCTTGATGGCCAAGTAGCAAACTTGGCCTTTTAGTGCTGGAGATTGGGGTTAATGTTCCACTAGGATCACCAACTGCATCATCTTTTTGTTTGGGTTGGGTTCTTGCAAGTGTTCGGTTTTCTCTCAGTTAAATAAAAAAAAAAAAAAACACAGCTGGCCAAACATGACAAAACGACAAACATCTCTGCACAGTAGATTAAGCTTCTCAGGGGACAGGATTAAGGTGAATGGTGCTCTAAGATACATGTAGGTACAGTGTCAGATGGGGGGGAAAAAAAAAAACGCAATGAAATTTCAGTCATTAAAGCAGGAAAATCAATATTTTTTTCTAACAATTGTCTACATTCACCCATGGGGTGAATAATTTCACCAGAACAAACGTCAATCAGCCATAACATTATGACTACTGATAAACTGAACATTGATTATTTTGTTATGGCATTTAAAAGTGGGTGGGATATATAAGGCAAGTAAACATGTTGCTAATGTTGAAAGCAGAAAAAATGGGCAGAGCATAAGGTTTTGAGCGACTTTGACAGGGGCCAAGTTGTAATGGCAAAATGACTGTCAGAGCGTGGTCAAAACTGCAGTTCTTGTGGAATGTTCCTGGTCTGCACCGGCAACAGGGTAATGGGCGGATAAGGCTCACTGAAGATAAAAGAGCTACTGTAGCTAAAATTGCAGAAAAAGTTAATGCAGTTTCCAACAGAAACGTATCAGAACACACAGTGTATTGCAGTTTGTGGTGTATGGAGCGGTGTAGCTGCAAACTAGGCAAGGTGCTCATGCTGACCCATGTCTACGGGGCAAAAGTGCCTACAATGGGCACATGAGCATCAGAACTGGACCATGGAGCAATGGAACAAGGTGGCCTGGTCTGATGAATTCAAGAATGGTTTCAGAAATATAGTTCTCCATATCTCAAGCGAGCATTTCTGGGATGTGCTGTAAAAATAAGTCTGATCCACGGAGGCCCCACCTAGCAACTTACAGGACATAAAGGATCTGTTACTGATGGCTTGGTGCCAGATACCACAGCATACCTTCAGAGGCCTAGTGGAGGCCATACCTTGACAGGCTGTGGTGGTCATAATATTATAGCTGAATGGCGTACATTACTTAAAAACAACAAATAAATCCAATCTAAACTACTCAAAAAAAGCAAAACAAAAAAAACAAAACAGTGTCTGAATACTGCAACACCACAGGAATAGCAATCACCATGTGATAGTATCAATTTTCGCAGAATCAGGTGAAAAACCCTTAAACTAACGCAGGCCATAGATGGTTCGTTTATCGGCCGATTGCAAAAATCGTCCGTTTTTCACAAATCTTCCAGCATGACCGATAAATGAAATGAGGAGGAACTGCAAAAATCGGCCGATGCCATTGCCCCACTAACAGTGTGAAAATTGGCTGATTATTCTTTCGGACATAAAATCAGCCAATAAACGAACCGTCTATGGCCTGCATTAGTCTGTCATGGGAATAACACTGGAGCTGCCACTCTAACTCCTCTCCAAAACTGATAATTGTCTGGCTGTTAATCTGACTAATGGAAGTGTTGTTAGTCATTGACCTAGAAGAGGTATGCAGATCAAAAATGCAAGAAAAGGAGTCAGAAGTCAGTCCCTGCACACTCAATGTACTGCAGCAAGACCGCCACGGGCAACTAGCCTTTTTAGGAGGAGATCAGCGATGGCAGCCTATGGGTTAACTGCTTCCTGACCGCCTTATAGCAGAACTACTGCTACAGGGCGGCAGGACTGCGCAAAATCACATATATACACAAACGTGATTTGGTGTTTCTGGGTAGGGGGCATTTTTTCCCAAAGTGTTGGTCTTTGTGTTTATAGTGCAAAAAAAAAAAAAAAAAAAAAATGCAGGAGGCGATCAAATACCACCGAAAGAAAGCTCCATTTGTGGGGGGAAAAAAAAATAATTAATTTGGGTGCAGCGTTGCAGGACCGTGCAATTGTCAGTTAAAGTAACAGCGCTGTATCGTAAAAAATGGCCTGGTCAGGAAGGGGGGAAATCCTCTGCAGGGCAAGTGGTTAAAGACTAAAAGTCGCTAACCCATAAAAGCCTGGAAATATAATGAATATTGGGAAGAGAGGTGTAAGATCAAAAAGAAAGGCAGTGAGCTTTTAAGTCAATTTAAATGGTAATGTCTCTGAAAACATGCTGTGCCATACATGTTTTAATAATTGTAAAAGTCCCAAAGATGGTCTCAGTGATTGCAGGGGCCACCACAATGACAACAACTGTAGGTCACATACGGCCTATGGGTTTCTTTACAGTTGGGTAGGATGGATGAGAGCACAGGAATAATTATTTATGTTACATAAAAAGCCATTTGCCTCATACCTGTCCTCCACATTAACACTCATATCAAGAGTAATAGTGTGCCATTCCTGTTGTTTCAAGCCCCATATCTGAGCTGTTCCGTCTTTACTTCCACTGACGAACCTGAAAAAACAAAGCAATACAAAAACCCAAAAAACTATAATAAAATCACTTTAAAAGTGGAATAAAAGAGCATAATATAGGCTGAAGAAGCTAACTGAAGTTTCAGCATTTTAATATCTTCTTTAGGCTCCATGCACACTAGCATCTTTTTAAGCTCCTAGAAGCTAACATTGTTATCCTGTGTCCATGCACATTATTTTAGGCAAGTACAGTTTTCCAATTTTCAGTGTTTAGGGGCAGAAAAAAAAAAAAAAAAAGTTTTCAGCATTTTTCAAGCAGAAAAAAAAAAAAAAAAAAAAAAAAAAAAAAAAAAAAAACGCAGAACATTCAAACACTTTTAAATGCTACTAAAAAACAGCTTTTTTGCTCCTCATATACTGTAAAAATACTAATAAAATGCTAACACTACTAAACGATACTACAAGCTGGCACAACAACGCTATTAGCAGTGTTTTTCATCCAGCGGTTTTTTTGAGCTTATAAAAAATACACAAAAAAAAATATAGTGTGCATGGAGCCTTAAAGTGTGACTAAACACAGGTTCCTCAATTCACTATATCTGGTCTCCCACAGTACACAGAACATGGAAATGCAATTAATTTAGTAAATATAAACTGCTAAATACCTTTTCTCATCAGCAATTAGAGCAGTCTTGTGACTCCTATCAGTGTCCAGCAGTGCACTGCTTAAAGTTTGTAAGAGTTTTCATTCTCCCCTGATTGTCCTATGAGGCTGCAGAACCCCTGACCCTCTGTCTGGACAGTGCTGATTGGCCTTGTGCTGATCACATGCACCCTCCCCCAAAAAAAAAAAAAAAATTCTGGCAAGACATCAAACTGTGAAAGGAATAAAGCACTGCCCTAGCGCATTATCCCAAATAATTTATTAAAACCTAGGCAAAATTATACTCACAAATGAGTGTAGACAAATCGCATAATCCCCTCGAAAGGCTGACGCGTTTTGAGGAGAACTCTCTTCCTCAGAGCCACTGGCCCTTCTTTGACGTCAGGTCCTTTTACTCGTTGTGGAGACTTTGTCACGGTCTATTTATATGGGATTTGTCTACACTCGTTTGAGTATAATTTTACCTACGTTTTAATAAATTGGTATTTGGGATAATGTGCTAGGCCAGTGTGCTCTCATTTTATTCCCTTTGCAGTTACTTCTGGATATCTCCTGTCGTTCACGAGAGCTGCAATCCTATGCCTACCAGCTGGAACTTCATACACATCCATATTTCACTGACTATTCCTGTTTCCAGCTTTCCACACTTATGCGGAGGAGTTTTTGACATCATTTTACACAACAAACTGAGCATGTGCAACTTGCCCCCGAGGCACTGTTTCCTCAGCAGATGGATTGGGGACAGTAGAAGGGAAGGTTCAGAGAAGACAGGATCAAACAGCCTAGGCATGCAGACTGCTTCTACAAATATTTGTGAAAGAATGGGTCACTCTCAGGAGCTCAGTGACTCCAAGCGTGGTCCCGTGATAGGTTGTCACCTGTGCAATAAGTCCATCCGTGATATTCCTGGCTACTAAATATTCCACGCTCAACTGTTAGTGGATTATAACAAAGTGGAAGCAACTGGGAACAACAGCAACTCAGCCACCAAGTGGTAGGCCACGTAAAATGACAGAGCGGGGTCAGTGCATGCTGAAGCTCACAATGTGCAAAAATCACCAACTGTCTGCAGAGTCAATAGCTAAAGGCCTCCAAACTTGGTGTGGCCTTCAGATTAGCACAACAACAGTGCATAGAGAGCTTCATGGAATGGGTTTTCATGGCCGAGCAGCTGCATCCAAGCCTTACATCACCAAGTCCAAAGCGTCGAATGCAGTGATGAAAAGCACGCCGCCATTGTGCTCTAGAGCAGTGGAGACGTGTTCTCTGGAGTGATGAATCACACTTCTCTGTCTGGCACTCCGATGGACGCATCTGGGTTTGGCGGTTGCCGGGAGAATGGCACTTGCCTGACTGCATTGTGCCAAGTGTACAGTTTGGTGGGGGGGGGAGGTCTATGGTGTGAGCTTTTCAGGGGTTGGGCTTGGCCCCCTAGTTCTAGTGAACGGAACTCTTAGGGCGTCAGGCTACCAAGACAGTTTGGACAATTTCATGCTCTCAACTCTGTGGGAAGACTTTGGAGATGGACCCCCTTCCTGTTCCAACATGACTGCGCACCAGTGCACAAAGCAAGGTCCATAAAGATATTAATGAACGAGTTTGGGGTGGAGGAACTTGATTGGCCTGCACCTGACCTCAACCCGATAGAACACCTTTAGGATGAATTGAAAGCAGGAACTGTGAGCCAGGCCTTCTCGTCCGACATCAGTTCCTGACCTCACAAACGCACTTCTGGAAGAATGGTCAAACCTTCCCATAGACACCCTCCTAAACCTTGTGGACGGCCTTCCCAGAAGAGTTGAAGCTGTTGTAGCTGCAAAGGGCGGGGCCAACTCAATATTGAACCCTACGGACTAAGACTGGGATGCCATTAAAGTTGATGTGTGTGTAAAGGCAGGCGTCCCAAAACTTTGGCCAATATAGTGTATATACACTGCTCAAAAAAAATTTAAAGGAATACTTTTTAGTCAGAGTATAGCATCAAGTCAAACTCCTGGGATATTGATCTGGTCAGTTAAGTAGCAGAGGAGGTTGTTAATCAGTTTCAGCTGAGTTGGTGTTAATTAAATTAACAGGTGCACTAGATGGGCAACAATGAGACGAACCCCAAAAAAGGAATGGTTTTACAGGTAGAGGCCACTGACATTTTTTCCCTTCTCAATTTATCTGTTTTTCACTAGTTTTGCATTTGGCTAGGGTCAGTGTCACTACTGGTAGCATGAGGCGATACCTGGACCCTACAGAAGTTGCACAGGCAGTCCAACTCCTCCAGGATGGCACATCCAGAAGGTTTGCTGTGTCTCAAGAGCATGGAGGAGATTCCAGGAGTCAGGAAGTTCCTCTAGGAGAGCTGGACAGGGCCATAGAAGGTCCTTAATCCATCAGTAGGACCAGTATCTGCTCCTCTGTGCAAGGAGGTTTGTGCAAAGAGGAACAGGATGAGCACAGCCAGAGCCCTACAAAATGACCTCCAGCAGGCCACTGGTGTGTATGTCTCTGACCAAACAATCAGAAACAGACTTCATGAGGGTAGCGTGAGGGCCCGACGTCCTCTAGTGGGCCCTGTGCTCACTGCCCGGCACCATAGAGCTCGATTGGCATTTGCCATTGAACATCATAATTGGCAGGTAGGCCACTGTCACCCTGTGCTTTTCACAGATGAAAGCAGGTTCACCCTGAGCACATGTGACAGACGTGAAAGGGTCTGGAGAAGCCATGGAGAATGTTATGCTGCCTGGAAGATTGTTCAGCAGGACCGTTGTGGTGGGTCAATGATGGTCTGGGGAGGCATATCCATGGAGAAAAGACGTAAATTCCATCTGGGTGCAGCGTTACATGACCGCGCAATTGTCAATTACAGTAACGCAGCGCCGTAACACAAAAAATGGCCTGGTTAGGAAGGGGGGTAAATCCTCAGGCGGGCAAGAGGTTAATATTTGTTCCTCATTTGTTTTGTTGTGCATTTTCTGTTTTCAAGGCATATTGCTTTAAGGTCTCCATCTTGACATCTTCCTTGGTCTACCAGTACGCTTCCCTTTTACAACCTTCCCATTTGATTTGTACTTTTAGACCAGATTTTAGACACAGCTGACTGGGAACAATCAAAATCTTTTGCAACATTCTGTGAGGATTCACCTTCTTTATGTTTTATAATCCTCTCCTTTGTTTCAACTGACATCTCTCCTGTTGGAGCCATGATTCATGTCAATCAGCTTGGTGCAATAGCTGACCAAGGTGTGGAATCACTCTTTTCTTAATGGCAGACTAATTAGCAGAAGTATTCTGATGTAGATGTTTATTATGGAATCACAATGTAATTTGCAGTTCTAAAACAGATTCCTCAGAATTGAGTGATTCCATTTTTTTTTTATCTGCTTGATCTGTAAAAACAGTTGCAATTGACTAGTTTTCTTTTTTCTTTGTTTCGTTTCCTAAAGCCAGAACATTGGAATGTTGACAGAAAATAGTTTTGAGGCATGTCTATGATTTTTTTTTTTTTCTACACAGTTAAACAATTGAATGAACATTTTCCAAGAGTGGCGATTCCATACTTTTGCCAGTGGTTGTGTAATATTATGCATGACAGACTCCAACTACATAGGCAGGTCGCTTAATACAAGACATTTAGCAGCAGCATGCTTTTTGTATGATGGGGTTGAAAACAAAAAAAATTGCCCTATTATAGTACAAAAACAAATATTTCTACATTAAGGGTGGGGATATATTTGTTTTTATTATAAAGTAGTACTAAAGGCTGAAACTTTTTTTTCCCATGGATATAATAATAATAATAATAATAAAAAAACACTTTAAAATGTAATTGTATTAATTTACTCCAGCCTATCAGCTTCTCTCGGTTCAGATGCGGATCCTCCCTGCACAGAGCCCTTAAAGTGATTGTAAACAGTTTTTTTTTCCTTTTAATAAAAAACATGTTATATTTACCTGCTCTGTAGAATGGTTTTGCACAGAAAATCCTCTTCTGGGGTCCCACGCCAGTGCTCCTGGCCTGCTTGCTATGGGAGCACTTGATTTCTAGAAGCACTGTGTGCTTCTTTTGACACACACAGTGTGGCCTAGGCCTGCCCCCTCCTCACAGGATTTGATTGAGCTAATAGCCCCCCTGCTGCAGCATCAGAGTTCTGTGAACAGGGAGAGCGAGAGAGCAGTGCTGCTGTTCTTGGGCACAGTACTGGATTGAAATTGGTATCAGGTAAGTATAAGGGGGTCTGTGGAGAAAGGGAGCTGTCACAGAAGGTTATTTAAAAAAACTACTTTTAGAATCACTTTAAAGCACTTCTCCTGCCCAGGACTACATCTCCCATGAAGCATTGCTCCTCAAACATTTACTGCCATATTTAAATGGTGTACTAAGCTGTATATGTGTTGCACTATGTATACTGACATGTAAACAAATAATACATTCTATATGCAGGCCAACCAATCGGCAACGAAAATTGTTGACAACTATTTTATTAACGATTATTATCAATTATGTCGATTAGTTGCTTCAGCTCTTTTTTGACATCATAACTTACAGTTTCAAAACAGAAATGTTTCTATTGCACCATTTTATTGATTACTGGCTCAACTGACTTGCCAAACAAACATAACCACACCAGACTCGAGATGCATCAGAAGGCTTTTAAAGCTATTGTAAGTTTACCAAGTGGTTTTTCCTAAACTGGAACTTTATGTAAAAAAAAAAAATGGGCTAACAGGCAGGATTTTTAATGCAGAAGAGATATGCTTTGTCTCTTCTGCATTAAAGTTGCCTACCTGCCTATCCGCCCCTGTACAGTGAGCATATGATGGAATGACATCATATCAGCCTGGCCAATGAATGCAGCCAGCGATCGATACCTGGAAAGCTGGCCACTTGATGTCAGTGTATGGTGGGGAGCTCCAGGATGCCACATTGCTGGAGCAACAGAGAGTATAGTTCTGCTTTAGGCTTGCCATACACTGTATAGGCCTGGTTCACATCTGTGCAGTGCACTTTGGGTGCGCTGCCATTGTACTCTATAAAGTGCGTTTTGATGAAAGAGCATCAAAGATACAGCAGGCCACAGTTTGTTTTTTTTTACTACACTTAAAATGCTCGTAAAACACACAAGGTGAACAAAGCGTTCTTATATTCAACCCGCAGGCTGAACGAGAGAAAATCAATAACTTCCTCCATGCATGCCAAACACCATGATGGAAGAAACTCCCTGCTGGCCATTGTTTTCAGGTAATTGCAGCAACTGCAGCTGCCTGAATACCTGAACAGTGACTGCATCTGACTTGACACATCTTGTTCAGCCAAGAATTTTCCACTCATCTCTGTCATCTTTTCGGTCAACAGCGTGAAATGTAAGGGAAACAATGATTAGGAGCCACAGCTACTCAAATAGAAACATTTGATTAAATTGAAGACTAACATTTTATGTAAGGAGAAGTCTCAATTTCATATATTCAGGTATATGGATGAGAAATTCCCTTGACAAACAATTTCAGTGAAAAGGAAGCAAGTCATTTGGAGGTGAATTTCTTTAGACCTAGGTTCACAATAGATCCACGATCCATGCGCATTCCCACACCACATTCAAATTGCACTACCCTTGCGATCTGCAGCGAGTGTCAATGGACTAGTGACGACACCCCAAATGCAGGTCACAAACACACACTGCATTTACCTGCACTGGATCGCGTGGTACAAAACAATCAAAATGAATGGGCTCAAATTGCACTATACTGAATAACATGAATTGCACAGGAATGCATTGAACCGAAACTGCTCCTTAGCATGTCACAAACATCAGCTTTTGAAGCAGAATAGACTCACTTATTCTAAACTATGTTAAATATAGGAAGACACTGCAATAAAAGATTAAAGATGTCTGGTTCAGGACAGCAGCTTTTATTTTGTTAGCATTCCTCCCAGTTTAAGAACTATACAACATTTTGGTATAAAAGTGTTGGTTAACCCACACAATGACTTCCATTTATGTGCTCCTTTTTAGTCTGTTACACGCACAATTAAAAAACGTTAAGACGTGCAAAATACCAGTTGATTCTGCCAGAAATCCAACGCGTTCACAGGATCCTGTGCACTCGGCAGCATTATCAGCAATGTTTACAGATATCTGTGATTACAGAACACCTCCTTCCATTCCAAGGAATGGATAAGAGGAGAGGGGAAGAAGTTCCCCATTCCTAAAACACCTCTGCCCTGGGGTGATAATGCTGCTCCTCTGGATACAGACCAGATCTAGCGCGGGAGCACCAGGTTAAAACGGTAAAAAAGAAGCCTTAAAAAAACTAAACAAAACAAAAAAAAAAAAAAAAAAACAAGCAAACCACAACCACCACATCCTAAGAGTAGTAGACTTTACTATATGACGTTTGTTGTTCTTGCGTTTATATACAAATACAGAAATGAAAATAGATCTAATAAGAAAAATAACTAGAAGTTCAAATAAAATTTTCCATGCATACATTACAGCTAGAAATCTGCTTTCAATGTGTAAGAAAATAAAAAAAACATACCTTTCACTGTTGAATGAGAAGAGGATACTGTCAATTATGTCCTGCGTTAAAAAAAAAAAAAAAAAAAAAAAAATCTATTTCAGACAGGAGAGAGATAAAAACAGCACATTAGCCAACAAAAATTATAAAAAAAAAAAAAAAAAAAAAAAAAAAAAAAAAAAAAAAAAAAAAGCTTTGGGCGATTCTCTCTCTATATATATATATATATATATATATATAAATAACACAGACCCCCAGCTAAAAGAAAACTCTTAAGCTAGCCACAGACGTTTGATTTCCAAGTCCAGGGGACTGAACAAGAGAAATCTAATCGATTCCCACATCCATAAATAGTGACAGCGTGGATTGTGTAATGTCGCTGCAAGATACTCTATTCACAGTCACAGCACTCACAGCTGTCTGAACACCCAAACAGTAACTGAATCTGCTAGAGTGCAGTTACTGTTTGGCTGTTAATTTTCCACCCATCTCCTTTTGATTATCAACACTTTCAGAGCTGGGTGGTATCAAAAGGGCAAGGCACAGCATGCATTTTTGGCAGATTTAGCAGGAACAGACAGGAATTTGAGCTCTGTATGGCCAACGTTAGTGTACATTTGACATGGGCTTCCTCACAAGGAATAAATTGGCTGTGCCCACAAGCTGCAGACAAGAGGGTGTGGTCAGCCTCAACCTAACCATTGTTCTCTATGAGGCAGCCCTCTCCCACTTGTCTGCAGCTTGTAGACGAGACATACACTATTCATAGGAGCAGTGTCTTGGGAGCATCTAATCACGGTGTTGCAGTACAAGTCCTAATCCTATCCTTTAAATGGAAATAATTTGCAAAATAAAATGCATTTGACCGATGTTTATGGAAGAGAAGAGATACATTCCAAGTAGCAGAAATACCGTCTGTAACAAAACATTGGTAAAAATGATTTTCACACACATTTTCTCTGCTATAATGTTCAATCATGAGCACACGTGTTAACTTTTACCCAGTCCCAGCTTAATTTTCAGGCTGTGGCAGCTGAAAGTTTTGTAAACATCCTAGCCTACATCAGTTCTGTGAGGGCCCATCCACACTACACAACATTAACTGGGCTGCATGGAGGGACCACAGCCAAAACAAATAGACAATAGATTCCTGGAATCTTCACTCTGTTCAAGAGCTATGACCTCCAGCAAAATCCTCAAATCAGACATGCTAGATGCGTCAGAAACCTAATGTTCTACCACACATTCAGGTTCTGACGCCCCTAGATCACTACAGTTTCTGGTAGCAATACAGGAACTGCAGGGCACAATGAGGGACACAGAAAGGGGTGCTATGTGAAGATTATGCTGGAGACGAACTCTAGAACAGGGCGAAGATCTGAGGAACAGCCAGTGGCCAGGAATATAAAGAGACAGCCTTTTGCACCATTTTTTAAAAAGACCTCAGGGTTGCTTTAAGGTCCAGGAGCAATTGCAACTCAGCAAGCAACCCAAACTTCATCTTTTTTTTTTTTTTTTTTTTGTAAGCGCTTCCAATAAAATTGAGAACATGTAACCAGTACTCACTGTGTGGCCCTCCAGCTCTGACACTTTCTCTGGTGTTTCATTGCCAAAATAATATATTCTGATAGCGTGGTCGCTGCCACCAACAGCCATAAACATTCCACCTGTAATACAAAACACCATTTGCCACAAGAACTTATGCAGTGCGAGTACAAGGAGTGAAGAATGACGATCATAAATACAACATAGAAAAAAACCTTCATATGTTCTTATTTGTCTTCTCTTCTGCCTGACTTAATATAAAATACAAACATTTCTCCAGCCTGTCAGTGACCATGCTTTAGTCTCAACTCCCTGTTTTCTGCTTTGAGAGGTCAATTCACCTGAAACTGATATTTGAGGTTTTTTATTGATGCTGGAAAATTAACAAAACTAACAGTTTCTTCTCCTTTTGCCAAGATCTCTGTGCTTGAGACTGCACATGTACTAAGAAAATAGATTGTAAGCTCCAAGGAGCAGGGCCCTCCTATACCTCTTGTATTGAACTGTATTGTCTCCCATTATATTGTAAAGCGCTGAGCAAACTGTTGGCGCTATATAAATCCTGTATAATAATAATTATGACATGTTCCCATCATACCTGTTGAGACTTCGTTTTTTTTTTTTTGCTATGTAGAATGCCACAGGAAGAGTCGAAAAACACGAAAAGGTGAGTGGGGACACCCAAAAACCTCAGGTGGCAAAGAACAGTGTCAGGAATTATGACAAGAAAATCTCACTGCTGAAGTATTCAAGGATATCTAGAGAATCAGGAGCCATATCAGAATTAGACTCAGCCCAACAGTTTCTATCAGTATTGCTATAGCAGTGCGCAGCCATACATGTGTAACCTCTGATTTTTCTAAGAGGACCTGTGATTTCTATCCTCCTGTCACATAAGGAACTATAATTCTCGTATGTAACAGCAATAAAAGTATAATTTTGGTAATGTATTACACATATTAGGTATTTCCTCACACACAGGAGAGCAAGAATTGTAGGGCCATCATTCATGGTCCTTGTTAACTGTAAACTGATGGCCTGTAAAGGCTTTTAAAGCAATCATCTGTGAACAATTAACGAGAATGTACAAATGTAATCCGTTTATATTGCACCAAAAATTGGTAATGTATTGTGACTGTGTACTAAAACTAACATAACAGAAAAATATGGGTTTGATAAACATGTGCACTTGCCTCAACAGAAAGGCCGTAAGCTGGGTATACATTATCGGTTCGGTTTTTTTTTTTTTTTTCTTTTAGTTCAGTCAGCGGGCAACAAGAGATGTGGATGCAGGAATTCCCCTGCCGGAACATTGTATTCTGGAAGCAGGGACTCTGCTGCTAGAAAACAATATCAGTGCTGCAGCAGATTGGCTGAAAGCCGTGGATCGAACAAAGTTTCCCAGCAGTCCTGACAGCTTCTGTCGAACTGGGAGGGCTACACACAGATGAAAATTTGTCCCTGCTAAACCGGCCAAATTTCAATCAATGTGTACCCAGCTTAAAGCCCCATTCACACTTGAGAAATTTGCAGCTCGAAGCTCCAAAACGCTTGAGAAAAAAAAAAAATCAATTATACTCAATGAAGATGGTTCACAGCTCTGCAAGTTGCCTGAAGCCAAAAGCCTTTTGGGATAGTATGTATGTATGTATGTGTATATATATATATGTATATATATATATATATACACACATACACATATATACATATACATATATACATATACATATATACACACATATACATATATACACACACACAATTTTATTTTTATATTTTGTTTTCTTTCTAGGGTTGGGGGTTAAGGGCCAATTATAATTATAACTATTTTATGATTATTTTAATTTATTGGTGTATTTATTTTACATTTATTATCAACATCCTAACAATAAAATAAATAGACAATAAAATTTTAACCACTAACCCAAAAACTAACACCAAACACCTAACCCTGACCCCTTACCCTTAAAAAAATAAAAATAAAATAAAAAAAAGATAAATAAAAACAAAAAGTAAAAGCTGATGGAAAAGCTAGCAAAACTGAAAAACCTAGCAACAAATAATGCAAAGAAGATATTTTTCTCTATTGGCTAATAAAACGCATGAAAAACGCTTTATGAAAACACGCAAAAACGCTACACTCAAGTGTGAATCCAACCTAACTCCTTCGTGACACAATTTTGCTTTTTGACATGTGTTCGTAAAACCGCACATATCATAGCTACTTTCTGTATCCAAATGGATTATACCTTGTTTTTCTTCAGGACAAATTGGGCTCTCTTTTGGCAGTGAATTATAAAAAACAAAAAAATAAATTAATAAATATCAGAATATGTTATTATAAAAAGGGAAAACTGGCCCATAATAGTAAAAAAAATAAAAATTTAAAAAAAATAAAAATTAAATATCAGTGTTAGCATTAGAGTTTGTTCGGTAGGATTGAAGAGAAAAAAAAAAAAAGCCAAATGCACACTTATTTCTGAGCGCAAATGGCGACTAATCTACACGTATGTGGTATTGCTGCAATTGTCAGGAGCAGGAGAATTTATTTTGGGTTCCTCTTTGGTAGACTATGGTAGTAGCAAGAAATATATACGGCTAAATTAAAAAAAATAAATAATATTTATTACACTCAGTGAGGAGAGCTCTGAGCACTGTTTGAGTAGAAGGGACACACCCCATTCACACAGGAACAAAAAGCTGAGGCTGTCAAAGGCCTGTCACCTTTTTTGTCTTGGAAAGCTTGTCAGAGGTGATTCTTACTGATAGCTGAAGAATGAGGCAGCAGAGAGAAAGAACACTTAGTGCTCTGAATTGAGACATGTACACATGTACACACTATAGAGGGATATGCTTTGTTCATAATTCATGTCTGAGGTTTTTAACCACATTAACTAAAGATCAAGAGGCCTACAGTCTCTAAATCATGATAGGGCAGAGACTTGCCCCTTAATGGTACTCAAGGCCAGATGATGTGTCCCACTGAGTACTTCCTAGGAAGGAATTTTATAGCCTGACAACACAAAAAGTAGATCTTCCAGGTGCAATGGTATACTTTGTTTTGATAGGCTACCAAGTCAACTTCTTGCAGAGGGATAACAGATCCAATAGGCCCCCTTTCCTCAGAACCTGAGCTTCAACAGCCATGCCATTAAAACCTACAATCAAGAAGCAGGAAAAGGCTTATGGGGCAGAAGAGCCAGATGACCTGGAAGGGTCTGCCAAGAGTCTATGTCCAAATATTGGGCCTTACTGGAACAGTTAAGTTAGGTGCACTGAGGATTTCTTTCCAGAAAGTTCCCCATCTTAATCCTGCGGAGCAGGCAAAGAAGTAGTCAAAAGGGGGAAATGGCAAAGATCAGTTTGAACTGACCCTACGGAGTCACCAGATCACCCACTGCAAAGGGCAAAGGGAGACCATTCCGCAGGATCTAGAAGTTACCTGAGGAAATTTGACTTTCAATTGTCCATGCCTGAGATGTGGATGGCAGATAGGACAACATGCAGTCTCACCCAAGAGCAAATCAAGTTAGTTTCTCACCGACCGAGTGACCCGACTTCTGGTGCTTCCATGGTGGTAGGCCACCGCTTTGGCATTGAACAAATGGATTCTGGTCAGGTGACCTTCCATGAGATATCCAGCATTGAAAAGACAACCAAACTGCTCTAAATTCCATGATGTTGATGGGATGTCAAGCTTCCTCTGACAGCCAAGTCACCTGCACAGAAAAGACATCCAAGGCCCCTACCCAGCCTGACAGGCTGATGTCGTTGTGAGAATTTTTTCCATCTTCATGGGGAGGAAAAAAAAAAAAAAAACAAAAAGGTTTTCTAGCACCAGGATGCATATCCTCCTAGTCAGGAAACATCTGAACTTGCTGGTCAGATATATGTGGTGGTATGCTAGTCTCATGAATCCTAAATGATAAGCTACAAAGGTCTGGAGTGAAACTGGGTGAAAAGGTACTGCCATCAAACCCAGGACCATCATATGCAGGCATAAATTGACAACTGGATCTGGAACCAAAGGGTTTGAGCATGCAAGCCAAGGAGAGGCTTTTGTCCCTGGGCAGGAAGATCCTGTACAGGGACGTATTCAACAGCTGCCCAGATATTCCGAGCGAGGAGTTGAGTACAGTGACGACTTCTGGAGATTAAGGACCCAACTGAAGCTCTGCAGAGTCTGGAAAACACTGGATTGGCTCACACTCCTCCTGAAACAGGTGATCACCTAGGTATCCTCCAGCGTGGACACCCCAATAGCACAGCGGAGCTAGGACTCAGCTTAGTACCTTGGTATAGATCCAGGGTGCTATGGACAGACCAAGAGAAGGGAAGAAAGTTGGTAATGTGTGACCACAGCAAACCACAGACAGTGCTAATGAGGTGAAAAGATTGTGATGTATAAGTAGCATTCCTCATGTCCGTGAAGGCCAGAAGATCCCCTCAAAGAAGGGAGGCAATAGGCTACACGGCAGATTCCATGTGGACATTTTGGATACACAGGAATAAGTTGAAAGTCTTCAGATTCAGCATGGAGTGAGTGTCTCCATTTTCTTGGGGACACTAAATGGGTTTGAGTAGACCGTGGAATCGTCTTCCATAGGAACCATCATGGTCTTGTTAAACTAAGTTGGCAGGGTCAATGACAGGGACTGTCCATTTCTTAAAGTAATTCTAAAGGCATTTTTTTTTTTTTTTAAAGAAAAAAAATACACATGCTACCTGCTGTGTGCAGTGGTTTTACACAGAGCAGCCCAGATTCTCCTCTTCTCATGTCCCTTGCAGGCTCTTCTGGCCCCTCCCCCATCAGGTGCCCCCACAGCAAGCAGCTTGCTATGGGGCACCCGCTACTCTGTGTCCATTCACACACAGAGCCGTGGCTCTGCCCCACTACTTCTCTCTCATTGGCTGTGATTGACAGCAATGGGACCCAATGGCTGCTACTTTTGTCTCAGCCAATGAGAAGAGGGAATGCTGGGATAGCCGATACTCCAGTGCGCATTGCTGAATCAAGATGGGGCTTAGGTGAGTATTAGGGGGGCTGGGGTGGGGGGGGGGGGGGGGGGAATACTGCACACAGGTTTTTTTACCTTCATGTATCGGATGCATGAAGGTAAAAAACCTTGAGCCTTTACAACCGCTTTAAGGAAATCTTCCTCAACAGGCTATTCCTGAGCAATCAGAAAGAAAGTTTTTCAGGGCGAGGCCAGTCACAACACAAATCAGGCTCTATGAGCGAGTGAACTGGGAAACTCTGCAAGTTTGGGCATTTTTTTTGGAATCCAGGCTGGAGACCTTAAGGCAGCCAAGTTTAAGGCTGCTCCAGTGTCAGGCATGAGCAAACTGCATCAGTAAGGGTAGTAATGGTATCTAAATTTCAGAGAGATTTCAGCAGCAAATCACTCATCCCAATGCAATTCTTCAGAAGCAGCAAGCATCTCATCCTGATCTGATCCCTCAAAAGCAGAGGACGGATCTTCCTCTTCCACCTCCTTTTCAGGTAGTACAGCATCCACGAGAGAAAACTCAGAGACGGACGTTAAAGGAGAGGCAGAAGGGGTACATTTGTGATCTCTAATCTACAACCTCCAATTGGGCTGAGGTTCTACCCATGAAGTCAAACATGGCTGCTGAAAACTCCTGCCTAGATAGGTAGGAGGAGGGTTGTGTGCCAGAGGGAACAAGCAGGTTCCCCAAAAAGACAGAATCCAACTAAGGGCAGGGTCAGAAATGGTTTAACCCTTGATTGTCCCTTCAGTCATGCACAGTTGCACATGCTCTTCTAATGAAATAGCTTATGACGATTTCAATGCACAATGAGATTCTCAAATCACATAAAGTCAGACATTTCCTGACTGGAAGACGAATAGCATCATCTAGCTCCTTTCTCCATAGCCTGATTGTCCCTGGCCCACCCCTTTCATTTATTTAATTTCGATTCTCTCAATCATGAAGGCTTAGCACCACATGAGAACATTACCCTAGCAGGGGTGTGGAAATGTTTGAAAAAACTACTTGTCCAGGGACTAAATCGTTGTCCCAATCTACTTGTCCCTTATGACAATTTACTTGTCCTGATCGAAAAAAAAAATGTAACCAAAACCGTATTTAAATCTGAGGTGGTGTAAGGAATGTCTGGGACTTTTAAACTCAAAAAGGGGCTTTAGGAGACTTAAACGTTTAATTTTTTTTAACATTGCGCTGTTTTATCTCATCCTCCCTGCCTGTCTCCAGCACCGCACCCGGGAACTAGCAGGGAGGAGAGAGACCTTGCAGTGTAATGAGCACTGATTGGGTGCTTGTCAGGAAAGGGGAGCGTCAGGTTATCCTTTATCCCTTTTGCTGCCAAAGCCATTTTTGCGTTTTTTGCACACGTTTAAAAAATCATTTTAGGCTTGAAGAGTACACAAAACTCCCAAACATGTATATTTTCTGAAATCAGAGAACCTAGAGAATAAAATAGTGGTAGTTTCCAATTTCAGTAAACAAACAAAAATAATTTTAGGGAACAAAAAAGCAGCAAGTTACCCTATTTTTATGTAAAATATAAAAGATGAGGTTACACCGAGTAAATAGATATCCAACATGTCAAGCCTTAAATGTGCGTGCACTCGTGAAATGGCGACAAACTTTAGTACCCTATATTTTATATAGGCGACCCTTTTATAGGTCATCAGTTTAGCGTTACGGAGGATATCTGGTGCTAGAATTATTGCTCTCATTCTGGCGTGTGCGGCGATATGCAACATGTGTATCGCAATCGACATTTTAAAGTGTAGGCGCCCCAGCATGTGCTTTTACTTTTGTACGTGCATATATGTGGGGGTGGGGGTCTCAATATTTTTTTTGTTCAGGGGATGTTATGTGCTTGGATGCAACTGCTTTTTTACTATTAAAATAAAAAAAAAAAAAGTTATACTTTTTTTTTCTCATCACATAGGGGACAAAAAGTCCCCTACGTGATGATTTTTTGGTGACAGGTTCTTTTTACAGGCAGGGTCGAAAAGAGGCAGGTTCACACGCGTGTGGGGGGGGGGGGGGGGGGGGGGTGTTGTTGGCGGAGGCTGGAACTGTGGGCTGTGTGGAGGCAAAATGCTTCCACCTCACAGGTGAGCCCTACTGCTTGTCCGCAGCAGGGCTAGAGGTTGAAAAAAAAAAAAAAAAACAAAAAGCTACCTGCCCGACGCCCGTAACTACATGTCTCAGGTGTCAGGCCATACAAATTCAACATCCCTGCCATAGCGTCCTGTTTTATGAAAGCTATGAACAGCCTCCTGTCAGACCCTCCCATTAATCATTATCTGTCTACATTGCATAGAGAAGCACATAGATTTAATAATGAATGAAACGGAAAGGTTTTAGTAAAAAAAAAAAATAAAAAAAATAGCAAGTTGGGGGAGGGGAAAGGAGGGGGATGGCAATGCAGGAAAGGCAAATTACAAGTCGTTTAAACTTCAAACGTTGATCAGGACACGGTGCTCTTAGCTACCATCACTTACCAACACTGCAGGAACAACAAAGCATCTGAACACCAGGTCCAGATTTCTCTATAAATTTCACAGGCCGATCACTGGTGAGGAATAAAATATAAGTTTATCTGCCACCGCATGATACACAAATATTTAATACACGACACAGATTCTATACATCTAGTAAAACCAATATAAAACATCAGTTAAAAAGGGTACATACTATAAAGGAATTGACCAAACTGCATTATTGTTTCCTTGTAAAAGAGTGTCTTCCTAATGTGGAAACCAGCTGAACATATTTTCATGCTGTATAAATCCTCAGCTTCTGGCTGAACAGAAACATTGTCCACATTTTTTTTCTCTGTGCATACAGCACTGTGGCTACCCTCAGATATACAGGAGTTAGACAAAAAAATGAAAACATTATATGATTTGCATGTGTGAAAGGGAAGACATGTCTCAAGTTGAAAGCGAAAGTGACTTAACATTCTTCTGCTGTGTGATGAGACACCTAGCTAACAGGTGGGAAGCCTCACTTTTGTCATTCATCATTCACAGCGTGCGCTGCTAGTAATGTCAGAGCTTACGGCGCTTCAGAAGGCAAATTGTTGGTGCTGCTTAGCTTGTGCCTCTATGACTGAAGTTGCCAATGTATTTGCCGTATACAGTATCATAAATTATATTATACAGTATTTAGATAGCGCCAAAGGGTATGCTCAGCGCTGTACAGTAGCAAGGGGGACAGAACATGAGACAAGACAGTAACAATACAATACACGAGGGGTTCGAGGGCCCTGCTCTTTCGAGCTTACAATCTAGGAGGGAGGGGAAGGTGGTACAGGAGGAGATGGCTGTGGGGGATAGAGTGGCGGGAGGAGTGGAGGAGGTTAGTTGTTAGGTGAGGTCGGGTGTTAGGTGAGGTTGGGGTAGGCATCCCTGAAGAGGAGGGTTTTCAGGGTGCGCCTGAAGGTGAGGAGGGTAGGCGACAGTCTGATGGATTGGGGTCGGAAATGTTCCAGAGGATGTGGGAAGTCCTGGAGAAGTCTTGCATTCGGGCGGGGGAGGAGGAGACCAGGGAGCTAGAGAGTAGGAGGTCCTGTGAGGAGTGAAGGGCACGGGTAGGGTAGTATTTGGGTATCAGGTCAGTTATGTAGTTTGGGGCGGCGTTGTGAATGGCTTTGTAGGTAAGAGTTAGCAGTTTGAATTTGATGCGTTGGGCAATCGGGAGCCAGTGAAGGGATTGGCAGAGGGGGGAGGCAGATGTGGAGCGGTTGGTGAGGTGGATGAGTCTAGCCCGCTGAGTTTAGGATCGACTGGAGTGGGGATAGCGTTCGTTTGGGTAGGTCAGTGAGAAGGGAATTGCAATAGTCTAGGCGTGAGATAATGGAGTGTATGAGTTGTTTGGTGGTGTCTGGGGTGAGGAATGTGCATATCTTGGAGATGTTGCGGAGGTGGAGCCTGCAAGATCTAGATAGCAGTTGGATGTGGGGTAGGAAGGAGAGGTGGGAGTCCAGGGTGACACCCAGGACTTTGGCGTGTGGGGTGGGAGAGATGGTGGCGTCAAACAGTTTCTGAGAAAAAGTCATCTGATGAGCATAAGTGCAGTCGACATGGACCAAAAGAGACAAAAAGGATATTATGCAGGATTTTGACCCAGAATGAGAAAACAACTGCTGCAAAAGTGACTGCAGAGCTCAATCTCAGTCCTGTGAAGCTAGGTGTCTCATCACACAGCGGAAGCAAGTGTTACATCACTTCCACTTTCAACGTGAAACATGTCGTCACTTTCACACCTGCAAATCATGTAGTGTTTCCATATTTTTGTCCAACCCCTGCAAGTTTGCAAAAGGATTTGGCTATTTCAAGTAGGGCGCTCGTAACAGAAGAAGATCTTTTCCCAAAACATTGACTTGGACAGCTGGAAAGCTTGTTGTAATTTTTTTTCATAACAGTCTTGTTGCTCGTCTACTTTCACATCTCAAATTGCTATAATAGTACATATTACATAAAACGTATTTTTTAAATACACTGAATTGTCATCATTTTAAATGCTCATATACTTCCACCTGAAAGCCAACAGTTGGCTTTTGAAGTTTACGCACAATCCAGCTGCTGTAGCTAACCTGAATTAAAGTCCAAAAAATTACACAGAAGAGAAAAGGAACAACAAAAAAAAAAAAAAACTAAACCACAAAACTGTAAAATCGTGGAATTTTACATTTACAAAAAAAAACCTTGTATAGTGTAACTTTTGACAATTTAGAAAAGCAAAAATGGTATCTGTTAAGTTACTCACCTGAACTGCAAGGTGTAGACATCCCATTGCCACAGGCAGACAGTTGCATCTCCTCCTGTAGACACCAAGTACCGCAGAGCACCTTTGACCAGTGGGCTGAACTACAAAACAAGGAATGCCTAAGATTGACAGATTTAACATAAAACTACAGAAATAAGATATCAAAAACTTGGGAGGATTGGACAAACATCCTACGTAGACCTCATGCACACTGAGCATTTAGCCCCAATGCATAAGACTCTGCAGTTTGGCTGCAGCTGGATGGCAAAGATGCACCATCCAGCCCCACTACCAGCAACCTGTCAAACTCTATGACAGTCTAACAGATGTTGCAGCTGGACAATGCACCTAATGGTATGAATGTTAAGGGCAGCATGCACCCAGGGACCAATGCCCAGAAAGCAAGCAATTTGCATTCCAGGCATTAATTCCTGGACATATACTGCCCTAAACGGGAATGCCGCTGCATGCACCGCAGAGACAGTGTTGCCTGTGCCCTTCTGGCAGATATTGTAGAAGGTTGGAAAGATCTAAAAATGAGGGACTAGTGTGCTCATATGAGAAGCATGGTGCCAGGTAAACACATGGTTTCCAAAAGAAACAAGGCAGTACCTAAAACTGGCAAGAAAAGCTGAGATAGAATTCAATGTTACCCATGCAGCAATGATGCTTCCTGGAGATGAATTAAACCTGAACTGAAGACCAATAAACCATATATATGAGCGGGCTTAACTAAATACTAACTCTATACAGCCTATCTTGTCATTTATACACTACTGCCACAGTGCACCACCAGCAGGTGACACACCTATTACGTGGCTCAGCAGGGCACATTTCTGTGTCACCTCAAGCAAGCTCACTGGACAAAGAATCAGTTTCATCAACTCTGACCAATGAGCAGGGAGGGTAAGTTGAATCATAAAAGAGAGTAATGTCCTTGGCTGCATAGTGTGGCAGAAGCATGTGAATCATAAAACTGACAAAATTAGAAGTTAAGAGGAAAAGGATAGACATTACAACTCCATTCTTAGCGGATTGCTGGAAGTTTAGTTCTAACTGAAAATAAGTGTTTTTCTTTTAAAGAACTGTTAAAACCAAACATTATATTGCAGCTTACCAATTCTTAGGCCCCTTTCACACTGACGGTCCGATCAAGTCCGCCTGTCAGTTTTTTAGGCAGACCAGGTCAGACCATACTTGTATCTGCTGACACCCGCCAGCATCTGATCCCGTATGCTAAAACCAGATGAATGGGGTTCCTCATCCATCTGGCAGATCGGATGACAGTCGGATGGAAACGGACAGGCGGTCTGTTTCCATCCAAACGCCCCATAGAGAACAGTGGACTGTGTCTGCTCTGCATAGCAGAGCGGACATACCTGTCATCTGCTTGCTCAGTGGAGATCAGTGGAGAGTTCCTCTGCTGAGCAGGTGAATCCGCTTGACGGAGTCCGCTCCATCTGAAAGGGGCCTTAGATGTGATGGATGCAGTAGTTTCCTTTTTTAGGAAAGTCTATTCAACATGAAAGATCTCTTGCAATTACAGGAATGAGAAACTATTTAACCACAAGCCTACAGGGCACTTATACCCCCTTCCTGCCAGGCCAATTTCCAGCTTTCAGCACTGTTTGCACTTTGAATGACAATTGCGCAGTCATGCAACACTGTACCCATATGAAATTTTTTGCACTTTTTTGTGACAGAGCTTTATTTTGAGGGTATTTAATCGCCTCTGGGTTTTTTTATTTTTTCTTAAACCAAAAGCCACTGAAAATTTAGAAAAAAAATTTTTTATCTTAGTTTTTGTTATAAAATTTTGTAAATAAGTGATTTGTCTCTTTCACTGATGTGCGCTAATGAGGCTGCAGTGATGGGCACTGATAGGTGGCACTGATGGGCATTGATAGGCATCACTGATGGGCAATTAAAGGTGGCACTGACTGGCACGGATGGGTGACACTGAAAGGCAGCTCAGATGGGCACTGATATGTGGCATTGATGTGCACTGGTAGGCACTATGTGGCACTGGCACGTGGCACTGATGAGCACTGAGAGCTGGCACTGACGGGGCTACACTGATCATCAGGGCACACTGATCAGTGTACCTGTCCCCTACGCGGAATGCTCAGCATGACAGCTCGAGAGGAGAGAAATGTCAATAACTGGCATTTCCCTGTTTACATGTGATCAGCTGTGATTGGACACAGCTGATCACATGACCGAGCCGAACATCTTCGGCTCTTTCCGTAAATCGGTGATCCGCTGTGTCCGAGGGACACAGCGCACCGCTGATCGCCGCGCGCACCGGGAGCCGCGCATGCGCGGTTAGAATGGGAGGACATCATATGATGTCCTCCCAGAATGAGAGAACCACCTTGCGTCCGTCATATTACTATATGGCGGGCGGGAGGTGGTTAAAACTGGCAAGGGTGCGTTACATGATGAGATTTTATGTAAACCTTGATTCCAACAGGAAATAAAATTGTTTACTGTAACAGTTTTTAAAGTAGTAGTAGTAGTAGTAGTAGTAGTAGTAAAGTGGAGAAAAAGAAAAAAAACAAAATACAAAATATTAAATTTCCCCCTGCATGGCAATGTTATAATGTGCTAGTATGTATCACATACTAGCACATTATGAGAGACTTACCTTAAACCTAGGCTCTCCAGCGTGCTGTCACTGCTGACAAGGCTTCCATCTTCGCCTGGTCTTTCTTCCAGGTTTGCGGGCTCCGTCATCCTTGAATGGCTGAGCAGCAGGAGTCACAGCTACACAATAGAGCTCTGAAGGGATGATATACTTCACAGCACATAGGCCAGTGAAGTCACTGGAATATCTCCAAAATGGTGCATGTTTAGGAGATTTATTTTACCTACAGGTAAGCTTTTTATTTGTGATGCACCGATGTATCAGCCACCAAAAATTATTGCCCAAAAAAAGGGTCATCTGCATTTTGTCAACAAAAAAAAAAAAAAAAAAAAAAAAAAAAAAAAAAAAAAACACAGGTGCTGAAAAGATAACTGACTGCGATGCATAATCAAATTTCACTGACTTGAATGAAAAATTGCAACCCATTGACTTATAAAAGTTTAATACAATTATATCTAAAAAAATATATATTTTTTTTCAAAAAAAAAACTGTTTGTTTCAGTTTTTGGCCAAGTGCATCCTGAATTTTCGATTTTGGTCCAGAATTTTAATTTCAGTGAACCACTAATTATACGCTCCCCTGTAGGTAAAAACTAGAAAAGAGTTTACTACCACTTTAAATGTATAAACTGGAGTTCAGGTTCAATTTGTTAGTTCTTGTTAAATCTGATAGTACTTCTAACACTCCCCTCCCCCAGACTGACAATGCTGCTGTCCAAATATGCCCCCTGTGCGCTATCATCCAGAGTGTGGACACTTATACAGGAGGAGGTATGTTACTGGCTAGATCGCCAGGGGAAACCAAAGAGGGGGGAAAAGCCTAAAAAAAGAAAATCTAATGCAGTCACCACATTAGATTGCCAAGTTTGAGAATGCATGGAATGTCTAAAATGTGCCTTTACTTAAACACTGGCAATCACTTTTGCCATTATTGACAAAGTACTGTATGGTCGCAAAAAAAAAAAAAAAAAAATCTTTCAAAAGGTTTAGTGCAGGGTTATCCAAATAAGATACTAAACCATACTAGCATATACAGTCAGGTCCATAAATATTGGGACATCGACACAATTCTAACATTTTTGGCTCTATACACCACCACAATGAATTTGAAATGAAACAAACAAGATGTGCTTTAACTGCAGACTGTCAGCTTTAATTTGAGGGTATCTACATCCAAATCAGGTGAACGGTGTAGGAATTACAACAGTTTGCATATGTGCCTCCCACTTGTTAAGGGACCAAAAGTAATGGGACAATTGGATTCTCAGCTGTTCCATGGCCAGGTGTGTGTTATTCCCTCATTATCCCAATTACAATGAGCAGATAAAAGGTCCAGAGTTCATTTCAAGTGTGCTATTTGCATTTGGAATCTGTTGCTGTCAACTCTCAAGATGAGATCCAAAGAGCTGTCACCATCAGTGAAGCAAGCCATCATTAGGCTGAAAAAACAAACCCATCAGAGAGATAGCAAAAACATTAGGCGTGGCCAAAACAACTGTTTGGAACATTCTTATAAAGAAAGCACGCACCGGTGAGCTCAGCAACACCAAAAGACCCGGAAGACCACGGAAAACAACTGTGGTGGATGACCGTAGAATTCTTTCCCTGGTGAAGAAAATACCCTTCACAACAGTTGGCAAGATCAAGAACACTCTCCAGGAGGTAGGTGTATGTGTGTCAAAGTCAACAATCAAGAGAAGACTTCACCACTTTTCACACAGAGTGAATACAGAGGGTTCACCACAAGATGTAAACCATTGGTGAGCCTCAAAAACAGGAAGGCCAGATTAGAGTTTGCCAAACGACAGCTAAAAAAGCCTTCACAGTTCTGGAACAACATCCTATGGACAGATGAGACCGAGATCAACTTGTACCAGAGTGATGGGAAGAGAAGAGTATGGAGAAGGAAAGGAACTGCTCATGATCCTAAGCATACCACCTCATCAGTGAAGCATGGTGGTGGTAGTGTCATGGCGTGGGCATGTATGGCTGCCAATGGAACTGGTTCTCTTGTATTTATTGATGATGTGACTGCTGACAAAAGCAGCAGGATGAATTCTGAAGTGTTTCGGGCAATATTATCTGCTCATATTCAGCCAAATGCTTCAGAACTCATTGGGCGCCGCTTCACAGTGCAGATGGACAATGACCCAAAGCATACTGCAAAAGGAACCAAAGAGTTTTTTAAGGGAAAGAAGTGGAATGTTCTGCAATGGCCAAGTCAATCACCTGACCTGAATCCGATTGAGCATGCATTTCACTTGCTGAAGACAAACCTGAAGGGAAAATGCCCCAAGAACAAGCAGGAACTGAAGACAGTTGCAGTAGAGGCCTGGCAGAGCATCACCAGGGATGAAACCCAGCGTCTGGTGATGTCTATGCGTTCCACACTTCAGGCTGTAATTGACTGCAAAGGATTTGTAACCAAGTATTAAAAAGTGAAAGTTTGATTTATGATTATTATTTTGTCCCATTACTTTTGGTCCCTTAACAAGTGGGAGGCACATATGCAAACTGTTGTAATTCCTACACCGTTCACCTGATTTGGATGTAAATACCCTCAAATTAAAGCTGACAGTCTGCATTTAAAGCACATCTTGTTCATTTAATTTCAAATCCATTGTGGTGGTGTATAGAGCCAAAAATGCTAGAATTGTGTCGATGTCCCAATATTTATGGACCTGACTGTAGCTGTGGCACTCATGTGGTCACTGCAGCAGTGTACAAGTACTGTATGTGAATATAGTAAAGGCATAGGCCACCCATATCCAAGAATGTTACCCTGCTCTGGGCTAACAGGATAGATTATTGTACAAAGTTTACAAGCCTTGTTCACTTAAAACTATTATACAGGAATAAATGTTATTTATATTGACAGGGGACTCAAGTGCAAGCAGTTTCAAATTTTGGGTTTATGTAACAAAACCATTGAAAGCAACCAGCCAAAACTCACATTACTGAAGTCAGACTAACAGAAGATTGGCTTGTATAGGTTGCAGACAGCAAATTGCACATTTATTAAATAATTTAGTTTGTCGGTGCATGCGGGCCTAAGACTTTAAAAGCACAAGACTTCTGTTTTCTAGGGGATACAGGAAAATCTGGATACTTACAAGCAAAGAGGTTACGGACACAGAATGACCTTGCAGTACAGCCACAGGAGCACACGTTCTTAGTGACCAAACTCGGATAATCTTTTCACAGCTTGCAGCAGCAATCAGAGTGTTTTCACAATTCACAGTAAGTTCAGAGATCTCAGCTGAGTGACCTCTTAGAGTAGCTAGCAGCCGGCCATCAAGTGCAGACCAGATCTTCACCAAGCAGTCATCTGAGCCCTAGAAAGGCAAAAACAATAAAACAGTAAGCTAAAACCATTTTTAGAGATTTTGGTAGCATACATTTTTAAATATATGTGGAAGACACAAATCCACTATTGTTGCCTTTGCAAAGTCTGCTTACAACTTTATTCTACAAGAGTAACAGTTTTGGAAAAAAAATAAAAAAATACAGACAACTTGTGAGCAAAACCTAACTACACGGTACCGCTAGCCTACATTAAAGTGGAGTTCCACTTTAAAGATTTCTCCCCCACTCCCCATTAAGGATTGGCACATTTGGGGAGCGGGGGAGAACGGGTACCCAAATTTGACAGGTACCCGCTCCCACTTCCGCTGCGATCGTCTAGGCGATCGGCAACGGAAGTTGTCCTCCTACCCTCTCTCCCCAAAGTCTTGTGGGACACGTGACAGGTCCCAGAAGACGACGGGGCCATTCAGGAAGCGCAGCGCTGCTCGCGCATGCGCAGTGGGAACCCGGCTGTGAAACCATAAGCTGTCACAGCCGGGTGCCCACACTGAAGATGTCGGCGCCTGGAATACAGGACAACCGGTGAAACGGGCTGCGGCGGAGGCAATGCGGGAACGTGGGACAGGTGAGTGGCTGCTTTTTAAAAGTTGCTGCTGACTTTTTTTTTTTTTACAGAGTGAGTGGAACTCCGCTTTAAAGCACCAACTAGACTTGTCCAGTTTATCTGCAGTGCACTTAATTAGGTGCAGTTTAGTGTAGGACCACACTTTAAAATGCAACTGAGAATACTAAAAATGTTTTAAAATAAGGTGCAGAGCTTAGACTGGGAGAGAATTAGTATAAACAGCCAATCAATTATGCTGAGTGCCAACAAAGGACAAGTTAGGAGGAGAGAGTAGAGTGACAAATGAGTTCATCAATCTGCTTCTAAGCAGGCATTAGAACAGCCTTGAGTGGGGCTAGCCTCTCACTTTATAATCTGGGGCTACAAGAACTTTAGAGCACAGGTTGGTGGAAATGTGCAGCCTGCAGAGTACCCTGGGGGGAGGCGGCGGAGGAGGAGGCAGCAGAGAGCTTGCCTAAGGAAGCCTACAGGAAACTGTAGTGCTAGTGTTAAAATTGGGTTGGAGCTATGTAATGCTGCTCATGTTGGGTGCAAGAAGGAAGAGGCATAACGCTGTAATGGAGCACTATATTCATGCTGGAGGTATTTACACACACACAGGTTTTTTGTGTTTTTTTTGGAAGTGGGCCTCTGGCCAGTAGCATGTGAGAGACTAAGATGGCAGAGTTCGCTTCACAAGTTCGTGTTACTCTACTTCAGCTCTATTACAGGAGGACAGTGGGAGGGGCCTTCGGCCAGCATGACTACAGCTGGCAGCAAATCAGGGACCTGCTAACATGTTGCATCTCCTTGAAGTGTTTAATCACAGTCTGGGAGACTGACAAGACCTGTACAGCAGTAAAAAAAATTCATGCAGGCCGTTGCTGTATGGCAGAGCTGCATAAGTCTCAAAATTGGATGGAAAATAATTAAAAGATTTAGGTAAAATAGCTCTCATTTACTGTATGTACTTTGTGTGTATTTAGTTTTCCTGGAATTCCTCTTTAACCGCTTGCCCTCCACCCTATAGCAAAAGAACTGCTACAGGACGGCAGGGCTGTGCAAAATTGTGTAATAAATAAATTTTACACACACACACACACACACACACACACACACACACACAGTTGTGTTCAAAGTAATAGCAGTCAGACATCACTAACCTGATCAATCACTGTTTTTGGTAGAAATGATATTTCTACATGGCAAATAATTTACTAGCAGGTGTAGTAGAGTAATAGAAATCCAACAGACCCAACAGTCATGACATGCATGCTGCTGATTCTGTGTCATTGAATCACTAATTGAAAGGGGCGTGTTCAAAATAATAGCAGTGTGGAGTTCTATTAGTGAGGTCATTCATTCTTTGCAAAACAGGTGGCAATTATTGCCCTTATTTAAGGAAGGAAGGCAGCAAATGTTGTACATGCTGGTTACAGTGCATTTCTCTCTGAAATTCTGAGGAAAATGGATCGTTCCAGACATTGTTCAGAAGAACAGCGTACCTTGATTAAAAAGTTCATTGGAGAGGGGAAAACATATAAAGAAGTGCAGAAAATGATAGGCTGCTCAGCTAAAATGATTGCAAATGCTTTAAAATGGCAACCAAAACCTGAAAGACGTGGAAGAAAGGGAAAAACTACCAATCAAATGGATAGAAGAATAGCCAAAATGGCAAGGACTCAGCCAACAATCAGCTCCAGGAAGATGAAAGAAGGTGTAAAGTTCCCTGTGAGGACTGTTACAATTAGAAGACGCCTATGTGAAGCCAAGCTATCTGCAAGAAGCCCCCGCAAAGTCCCACTGTTGGAAAAAAAGACGTGCTGAAGAGGTTACAATTTGCCAAAGAGCACATTGACTGGCCTAAAGAGAAATGGCGCAACATTTTGTGGACTGATGAAAGTAAGATTGTTCTTTTTGGGTCTAGTGGGCGGAGACAGTTTGTCAGACGACCCCCAAACACTGAATTCAAGCCACAGTACATTGTGAAGACAGTGAAGCATGGTGGTGCAAGCTACATGATATGGGGATGTTTCTCATACTACGGTGTTGGGTCCATTTATCGCATACCAGGGATCATGGATCAGTTTGAATACATCAGAATACTTGAAGAGGTCATGCTGCCTTATGCTGAAGAGGAAATACCCTTGAAATGGGTGTTCCAACAAGACAACGACCCCAAACACACCAGTAAACGTGCAACATCTTGGTTCCAGACCAACAAGATTGACGTTATGGAGTGGCCGGCCCAATCCCCGAATCTTAATCTAATAGAAAACTTGTGGGGTGACATCAAAAATGCAGTTTGAGGCAAAACCAAGAAATAGAGAAGAACTGTGGAATGTCGTCCAATCATCCTGGGCTGGAATACCTGATCACAGGGGCCAGAAGTTGGGTGACTCCATGCAACACAGATGTACAGCAGTTCTCAGAAACAGTGCGACTACAACCAAATATTCATGAAGTGATTCAAAGGAAAGCAAAATCTTCAAACATTTCTCAGTTTATATAGTGAATGTTTGAGTTTGTACAGAAGAATACAAACACTGCTATTTTTTTGAACAGTCTAATATTCACTTTTCTTCAATTTTTTCAGAGGAACAAAAGAAATTTGATCTATTTTTCTTCATGTTTTGATTTGGAATAGAATGTGTAGTGTTCCCAATGCATTTGTGTGGATGGAAATAAAAGCTATTAGAAGGATTTTGAGTGTGCGTGTGTGTGCATATACACACTATTCACATTTCCGGGTAGGGGAAAGTGCACGCCGCCCCACCCATGCTGCTATTGGCGGCTAGAGATGTCAATCACCAGGTCTCTGCTTCCGTATTCCCCGCTGCCACTCAGCAATTGTCGGGGAAAGCTGACAGGGGAGAGACCTGTGTGTAAGCACACAGTGTAAGTGCAACACAGCACAGAGTTAACCCTTTGATCGCCCCAGATGTTAACCCCTTCCTGCCCAGTGTCAGTGCTTTTTATTAGCACTGATCACTGTACTAGTATCACTGAGGATGTTAGTGACAGTTAAGTCCGTTCCCACCCAGTATCAGAATGCCCGTCACAGTCCCGCTATAAGTTGCTGATCGCCACCATTACTAGTAGAAAAAAAAATAAATAACTTTCACGTAAACCAATTACTTTACACATATTGTGATTTTTGCTTTTAGCAAAGACATGCAGCAGAATACATTTTGGCCTAAATTTATGAAGAAATTTGATTCCATTTTTTTTTTATTGGATAGGTTTTAATGCAAAAAATTAAAAAAAAAATATTGTTTTTTTTCCTCAAAATTGTCAGTCTTTTTGTTTATAGTGCAAAAGATAAAAGCAGAGGTGATCAAATACCACCGAAAGAAAGCTCTATTTGTAGGAAAAAAGGAAAAGGACAAATTTATGTACAGCATTGCATACCCGCGCAATTGTCAGTTAAAGTAATGCAGCGCCATATCGCAAAAAATGGCCTGGTCAGGAAAGGGGGGGGGGGGTAAATCCTCTGGAGGGCAAGTGGTTAAATAAGCACCGCTGCTCTAACAAAACTGGCTGTTTAGGAATGTGTTTCATACACTTCTAACACAATACCAAGGAGTCTGGAGCCAAGTCTCTAGCAGTATTTTCACCAACTGAATATGTAAACCCCAGCTGCTGTAGGAAGTCACTTGGAGCAGTGAACCACAATTTAAAAACCAAAAAAACCACAGCGCCTAGGACCACTCTGTACCACGAATGTTGTCCTAATTGTAGAAAAATATGCTCATATGCTCAATTGCACATTTTTACGCCCCAACCGTAAGTCTAAACAAGGCCTAAGGCCTCGAGTTCACATGGGGCACACTACAGCGAGGCCATGTTTAGCTGCACAGGGATGAGCAGCTGTTCCATGCATTCCTGTGCAGGCAGTCCCATGCATATCAACTGGGACACAGCAGCTGCATTGACACAGCCACTGCTCCCAACTTGACACCCAGGTGGGAGCATGTCCCCAACTCACACAGTCTGCATTTGGGGCCATGCACCTACAACCACACAGATGCCAGACCTGTCCTTGCAGCTGCTGAGTCCCAGTTGACATAATTAGGATTGCACAGAACACCTGTGCATCTCCCCTTGCATGTAAAAATAGTCCTCCATTGGTGTACACTTCAGCACACCTTGTTAAACAAGGCTTTAGCAGGAATTTGGTAGGTTATGTTGTGGTTTTGTGGGCAAATAAGGATTTTACCAGGTTTTTTTTTTTTAGTGAAAATAGCGATTTAATAAACATTTGTGCAACTATTGTGGCGCCTAAAAAAAATCAGTAGCACCTTTTTATTCTACTGGTCATGTGCTTCCAAAAATATATGGTTTGTGGGGTCTTTTACAAACTCTGAAAGCTGTAAGTGAAAAATGGAAACCTCCAGATTTTTAGAGAAAGTTTTGTGTACATTTGATTTTCACCATTTCACAAAAAGGAGCAAATTAAAATTTACATATATTTGTTATTTATTAACTCAATACAGGTTTAACTTTTATATCTAGCAGGAATTTAGCAAATAATGATTTTAGTCTATTTTTAGCAAAAATATTGTTTTGCACAAATATCATGGGGCCCTAAAAATCAGTAGCGCTTTTTTATTCTACTAGTCATGTGTTTTCAGAAAATATATGGTCTGGGGAGTCTCTAACAAACTCAAAGCTGTAAGAGAAAAATTAAAAAACGCTATTGAAAAATTGTAAAAATGGTCTGGCCACCTGGATTTAAATTGGCGCGCAGGGCCTGGCAGCAAAAGTAAAAAAAAGATGGGTAAAGTAAACTTGTAAAGAGAGAAGCACAATGTCTCAATGTAACAGCCGGACAAATAGCATTTCAAACAGTGAGATATCGCAACTTTATTTAACCTGTTCCTTTTAACCCTTTCACTGCCAGAGCGGTTTTTGATTTTTTTTTTTTTTGCACGCTTAAAACATAGGCTTGATGGTTATTTAAATCCCCCCAAAACATATTTTCTGAAAGTAGAGACCTTGGAAAATAAAATGATGGCTGTTCAGATGTTTTTATATCTTGATATTAGCACAAAGGCAATAAATACACACCAGTTCATTTTAGGGCACATCGCTAATTTTATGGTACATCGCTAATTTTATGGTGGTATTGGGGAGTGCGGGCAAAAGTGAACAGTAACACATAACATGTTACACCCTAAATACAGGTGTAACGTATCACGTTACTAAAGGTGAACTTATCTTTTAAGCATTGTTAATTTACTGATTAAGAAAAGGACAACTTACAGTAAAAATTCTTTGACCCGTGCGGTCAAATGCAACACAGTAAACAGAAGAAAGGTGACCTAGAATCCTCTTCTGCATCTTGATCTGCTGGTACATTGTTACAGGAAATGCAGAAGCGAACTGCGTGGCTCCGGTAAGATGTTTCCCCTGATGCACATCCACTAAAACATACAAAGTACCAAATGGTGAGAAAGCATCATGGGTGTTATCAGATGCAGCATACAGGACAGAATTTTGCCATACCAACAAACGGTGGTTTCTTCCTGGTAACAGACACTTCTGGTGGCCTCCCGCGCTGAAGAGTGGCAAAGGATTTCTGGCTCCACTGAGCATTTCTGTGACCTGAAGACATGTAAAAAATAATGCAGGATCAAAAATACGGGAATGAGAAAGTGTCTTGAAATTAAGCTTTAGTGTATATAAACACTTACAATGAACTTCTGTTTGCTCCCTTTTGAACTGCTAAATAGGTTTATATCTATATTAAAATGCAAAACCTACCTTTTAAATTTTGCCATAAATTTTGTGAGTTGATAATTTCCTGGGCCCTCTGCCTGTGCACAGGCTGTTTTATTCTATCCTAAATACAGGTGTAACATGTTGCTAAAGGTGGAGTTAGCCTTTAAAGCTACTGACACCCAATGAAGAGGTAGCCAACATATGGGACTAGAAGTGTAAACAGTAAATCAGAAGTCCAACACCCGCAGACTTTAACAAGCAATCCTTAACACAGGTTTGTCTATGCAGCTCTCTGCATAGAGGTTTAGCCTTGGCTTAAAGGAGAAGTCAACCTTTTACAAAAAAATAAATGCACACCCTTTTTCAAGTAAAAAATGTGCATTTATTTTTTTTTTATACTGTAGTCTGTAAGACATTGCACCCATGATCAACAGATAAAGGGTGCAATGCCTGTATCCTGCAGACACTCAGTAATCCGCCTGCCCATACCTTGTATGGGCAGGCAGTTAATGAATGGCAGGAAAAATCATGAGCACCCTTGCAGTTCACTGAGAACTATAAGCTATCCGCTGCAATGGCTGACGGTACTTGTAGGCATTCATTCACAGGAAACTGTGAATAAATGACGTGAACGTCTTGGCGGAGCCCTGCTTGCGCATGCTGGTTTAAAACAGTGGGTGCAGTGGGGGAGAAGCTCCTTCGTCCTCTGTCACAGGGAGGGAGGATCAGGGAGAAGAGGCAGCAGGAGCTGGAACACGCAACAAGTTTCAAAAGGTGAACTTAGCCTTTAACCTCGACAAAGGTCCACGTGGATGTCAACGAAACCGGTCAGTGTACGCTCCCTCTCTCTGTGCACATGGGACCCACAGCCTGACCGACTCCATATTCAGAAGTAGCGACAACGGCGTGACACAGTGTGGTCCCATTCAGCACGTATGGAAACTTTATACACTAGTCCATGGCACTGGACTATCTCACTGATAATCGGGAAGAGCTGCAATACTGGCTTGTGTCCATCCATCCTGCTATTGCTGTCCATGCCTGTTCACTGTTTGCTCACTGTTTGCTTTCACTGTGTAATTACAGCTGTGTACAAGTGATGTTTGAGAATTTCCAAGTAATGATTTGATACACAGAGATCTACATTCATTGTTGGCAGATTGCTTGTAAAAAGACAGATACAGGGTTCTGTGCACAGCACTGGATACATTTGTGACCTGCGAGTCTTGCAGGCTGTATGTGAACAGGATTCAATCTTCAAGCAACACTATCAACTTGGCTTCACTCCATGAACCCTTTCAGACGAGACAGACTCTGTCAAGCACATCTGCTTGCTTAGCGGGGGAGCGCTCCGCTGATCCCCACTGAGCAGGTGAATGACAGGTCTGTGTCCGCTTCGCTATGCAGAGAGCAGACACAGCTCGCTGTTTTTTTTATGGGGCAGTTGGATGGAAATGGACCGCCTGTCTGTTTCCATCCGACTGTCATCCGATCCAATCAGCTGGACAGATGGGGAACAGATCCCCATCCATTGATTTTTAGTGTACAGGGTCGGATCAGATGTTGGTGGGTGTCAGCAGACATGTCTGCTGACACCCACCACTCCATAGAGAGCTATGGGTGGTCCGATTCGGTCCGTTTGAAAAACTGACAGGTGGACCCGATCAAACCATCAGCGTGAAAGGGGCCTATCAGTTTGTTTAGCAGTTACAAACAGACATTCAGCTGCTGGTTCTAGTCTCTGCTCATCCATAGTTGCTTGTGTGGTTTATATTTACTGCATCTTTCAGGATGCTCCATGATGATATGCTTTGTCGATACCACATTCTATGACCGTGTTTAACCATATGAAGTTGTGCTTCTCTGATTGTATATGGATTCATGTGTGACATTTAAAAGGCTGACAATGCTGTCATTTTAATTACACAGTGGGAATTTTCTGTCAGAGTATCCATCCTGTTTTTAGTAATGTGTGCTTTAATCAACTTTTTGTAAATTTTGTATTTATCCCTTTATTATTTATTGTAATTTTGTTATGGTTTAGCCTTGAAACCTGTAAATTAAGTGTTGTAGGAACCACATTTTAGGTTTCTAGTTCAGCCTAGGGGTGGTCTATTGCCCAAAACCAAGCAGAAGTCCAGATTAAACCACAGCCAAACCCCTAGGCCATCATCTCTCCTTGCTGCAAAATACACAAAAAAGGTTAGGAGTTACCCAGTACCCCTGCACGCCAATAAGTGTAGAAGGTGTTAATAGGTTGTAACTTCTGTTTACCTTCAAGCTGTTGGCACTCTACTCTACAGCCTCTGCTTTCCTGTTGCAAAATGGAGCGCAAAGTAGTACATTCAACTGCACGTTTAAGGAGCACGCCAACACCCCTAACCAAGGCAACCAACACTCAAAGCAAGGACTACCTCCCAAAAGGTACCCCACACTGTGCCTCTTCACGGTATTGGTATAGTACATAGAAGAGCTTTTAAGAACTTACCTTGGAACCTTTGGTGCCTACATCTTCAAGAATTGTAGCAGCTGGCATGGCGGAATCAGAGTGCATGGTATAGAACTGACCAGAAAAAATCTGCTGTAATACTCCAGGGAAGGTCCAGGGCCACCTATTGCTTCATCATGAACATGCGTGTGCACCCTCCCTGGCATCTCTGAATAACAGCTCCAAGTATACCCATGCAGCTGCTGCATTAAGGGAGACCCAATTTGTAGTAGGCAACATTGAGTTCCAGCCTGCACACCTGCAAAAACTGCCTGAAAGTAGTTAGGGCACTGGACTCCTCTGCTCTCATCTCTCTGACAATAGGGGCACGGACCTGCTTTAGTCATGCATAACCCCCCCTCCCCCCACAGACTTAAGGATGCCGGTGGCCATAGTCCATCAAAAACAAACAGCAGCATACATCAGCGGCTCAAGATGGCCACGGAGGGCTCCCAGCTACCCCTAACCTCCTGAGTCATCAGAGGAAAGGAATTGGAGCCTGACCAAATGTAAGTAATGGAAGGCTTCACTAAAGCCTTTGCACTCTTGGGAATAGCTCCTTCTCCTCAGGTGGAGAAGAGACCTTGGGGAAATGCCAAAAACGTGGAAGGTCCCACACAACTGGGATACTAAAAGTAGTCAAGATAAGCAACTGCTCCAGGTCCACTGTCCCTGAAATCATGGTGGGGCATATATTGGGAGGCTCCTGCAACTAGCACAAAGGTCTGAGGGAAAACCACAAACCATTTCAATGTTCCGGTTAGGCTACAGTTAACACATACTGAGGAGACTAGGTGACTGTTTTTTTTATTGATTTTGGATGTGTTTCCTGTTTTAGTCCAGGTACACACAAAAAGTGACTTTGAAATTGTGCTATTTCAGTTGAAGTTGACACAATTTCAAAGCCACGAACCCAGTGCGATTTCATATGTGGTTTGCCTGACTTAATGAGACCTCCACAGGAAGCCAGGAAGTCGTTCACAACCAGCACGGAATGCACGGGTGGAGTTACATCACCAAAGACACACGGAGAAGGCAAAACAGGCTACGCGCCCTGATCCAGCTGATCCTTCTACAGGCCTGTAGAAGGAGCAGCTAACTCCGATCGCGTAGCCTCTTTTGCCTTCTCAGTGCGTCTCTTCCGCTGGTGACGTCACTTCCGCCCTTGCATTCCGTGTTGGTTGTGGATGACTTCCTGATTCACAGGGCGCCCATACCCCAACATCATCATCTACTGCTAGATTGTAAGCTCGAAAGAGCAGGGCCCTCGATCCCCTCATGTTTTGCATTGTATTGGTATTGTTCGGTCACATGTTCTGTCCCCCTTTGTAATGTACAGCTCTGAGCGAACTATTGGCGCTTTATAAATACTGTATAATAATAATACTGCCTTTGGATTGCAGCAGCAGTTCCCATAGGACGGAGGAAGAGCAATACATTACCTTGCTTCTTGTGAGGGTTTTTAACTATCTGCCAATAAATGAACATTGTAATACTGCACTCAGGGGGTGCGCTTCCTGCATTTCTACCTTTTCCTGTCTCAAGGCAAGTGATATGGCCTGCTCTGAAACCTCCTAGCCAAAGAGCAATTAATCCTTTCAGTGCAGGGGGTCCCACTGCAAGGTGGATTTTTTCATGGAGTTGAGCTTTAAACCAGCTACAGCCAGAGAAAGGGCATCTCTGGAACATGGTCAGAAAAGTCAGCTTACATATTTCAGTACAGGTTTCCTTTAAACAAAAACAAAGCACTCATCAGTATGTATTATACCTTTTTCTGTACGTAATGATGGTTTGACAAGGCCAAGCAGGGAACGTGCTCTGGATAGGTTTGCTGGAGAGTGGTTATCAAGAAATGTTGTTAAACTCTGACACAATTTCAGCAAATGGTCCGGAGCTACACACTTGTTAGCCGATACCTGTAAGCAGATAAAAATCACATTACCTGAGAAGGTTCTTCTATAATCCAGGCCATGGTATAAATAACAGGGGCTAGTAAAATTCAACTGGACTCTATTATGTTAACAAGGTTTTGATGCTTATCCAGTCTTTTTTGGTTCTAATAAATGTTGGGCCATACAGCATTTATAGCCTCGTGGTTTATTAAAATTGCAACACCAGTCTAAAATAACAAAACAGTGTAAGGCTCCATTCCCACTTGTGCGAACTGTCATGAGACTTGGGACACAAAAGGCACTGGGGCGGGGGGAGGGAGGAGCCAGGAGCGCTGGTGGGGGACCCAAGAAAGTGGGTCAGGGCTGCTCTGTGCAAAACCATTGCACAGAGCAGGTAAGCATAACATATTTAATTAGTAGCTTTAAAATAATTTCAACACCTTCACACCCTGCCAATAACAGATTGACAGCTGGGCAGGACGTTCCTCCTGTGTGATGTCATATGACGTCCTCTCAGAAGGTGCTGCGCAGCACCGCAATCACCGGCTGTGTCCACCAGATACAGCTGATGACTGATCAGTAAACTGGCCCGCTGCCAGGGTCATGTGATTGCTGTGATCAATCACAGCAGATCACATGACAAATGTAAACAATGGATGGCTTCCTTTCATGCCATCCATTGTATACAATTGTGTTAGCTGTGATCGGTCACATCGATCACTTGGTACAGACAGGGTCAATTACAGCCCATCTGTACCATGTGATTAGCTATGGCCATTCACAGCTAATCACAACAAAAGACACTGGAAATATTTGTACTATCCTGGTATTTTCCAAATAACCGATTCGGGTTATTTTCACCAAATTAACATAGCAGAATACATTTTGACTTAAATTTATGAAGTCGTCCATGCACACAGACTAACCAGCTTTTTTGGCAGGGGCGATTTTTGACAGGAAAAAAAACCAGAACTAGTGGGTTTCTAGGTGAGTTTAACTGTAAAAACACTCTAACGCTGCAAAACACGGTAAAACATGGCAAACCAACATTTTTGGAGTTTGTCAAAAAAAAAAAAACCTATAAAACCACGTTATTAAAACACCCCGTGTGCTTGGAGCCGAAAGGTTATTTGCAAAAGGTTATAACAAATGAAGAAAAACATGTTTTTTAAAATTTTTTTGTAGCAAAAAAAATAAAACAGTAGTGATTAAATACCACCAAAAGAAAGCTCTATTTGAGTGAAAAAAAAATTAAATTTCTTATCGGTACAATTGTTATTCAAAGTGTGACAGCGCTGAAAGCTGGCTTCGACAGGAAGGGGGTAAAAATGCCCGGTATTGAAGTGGTTAAAAACAGGTAAACACAAGGGGTTCGATAAAAAAAAAAAGAAGGAGTTGGGCAGGTTAATGCACCTTTATAAATAGTTGAACAACTGAGCATTTGCACTGTGCTCCCTCTATGTTTTAAGGCTTCATTTTCCTTTTTGTGCTATGATACTATTGATATTTTTTGCTACTAAGGCAGTCCTCAGAAACGTACAGTAAAACCCTAGTTACACACTATGCTTGTGCAGTGCCACGTTCTACATACAGTGAGGAACAGAAGTATTTGAACCCCCTGCGATTTTGCAAGTTCTCCCACTTAGAAATCATGGAGGGGTCTGAAATTCACATTGTAGGTGCATTCCCACTCTGAGACACAGAATTTAAAAAAAAAAAAAAAAAAAAAAAAAAAAAAACAACAAAAACAGAAAATCACATTGTATGATTTTTAAAGAATGTATTTGTCTTGCACTGCTGAACAGAAGTATTTGAACGCCTGAGAAAATCAGTGTTAATATTTGGTACAGAAGCCTTTGTTTGCAATTACAGAGGTCAAATGTTTCCTGTAGTTCTTGACCAGGTTTGCACTGCAACAGGGATTTTGGCCCACTCCTCCACACAGATCTCCTCCACATCTGTCAGGTTTCGGGGCTGTCGCTGAGCAACACGGAGTTTCAGCTCCCTCCAAAGATGTTCTATTGGATTTAGGTCTGGAGACTGGCTAGGCCACTCCAGAACCTTGATATGCTTCTTACGGAGCCACTCCTTGGTTATCCTGGCTGTGTGCTTCGGGTCGTTGTCATGTTGGAAGACCCAGCCACGACCCATCTTCAATGCTCTGACTGAGGGAAGGAGGTTGTTGCTCAAAATCTCACAATAAATGGCCCCATTCATCCTCTCCTTAATACAGTGCAGTCGTCCTGTCCCCTTCGCAGAAAAGCACCCCCAAAGCATGATGTTACCACCCCCATGCTTCACAGTAGGGATGGTGTTCTTGGGATGCAACTCATCCTTCACAACAGCCTTGTACCATGTGACAAGCTGTGACCAATCACAGCTCACTCAGTTATCAATGGCTGCAAGAATGCAGACAGAGAGAAAGAGAAATGATTGCTTTTACATCCTATATGGGTGTAAAAGCAATCAGTGTAAAAAAAAAAAAAAAAAAATCTTCATCACTCCAAACATGACAAGTGAAGTTTAGAGCAAAAAGTTCTACTTTGGTCTCATCTGACCACATGACTTTCTCCCATGCCTCCTCTGGATCATCCAGATGGTCATTGGCAAACTTCAGACGGGCCTGGACATGTGATGACTTTAAAGACACCTGTCCACCCCACAGTAAGTAAGTAAGACGCCAACTACTACCATGGGCAAGACCAATGAGCTGTGAAAAGACACCAGAGACAAAATTGTGGACCTCCACAAGGCTGGAAAGGGCTACGGGGCAATTGCCAAGCAGCTTGGTGAAAATAGATCAACTGTTGGAGCAATTGTTAGAAAATGGAAGAGGCTAAAGACTATCAGTGTCCCTCGGACTGGGGCTCCATGCAAGATCTCACCTCGTGGGGTATCACTGATAAGAAAGGTGAGGAATCAGCCCAGAACTACAAGGGAGGAGCTGGTCAATGACATGAAGAGAGCTGGGACCACAGTTTCAAAGGTCACGGTCGGTAGAACACTACGCCGTCATGGTTTCAAATCATGCATTACACGGAAGGTTCCCCTGCTCAAGTCATCACATGTCCAGGCCCGTCTGAAGTTTGCCAATGACCATCTGGATGATCCAGAGGAGGCATGGGAGAAAGTCATGTGGTCAGATGAGACCAAAGTAGAACTTTTTGCTCTAAACTTCACTCGTCATGTTTGGAGTGATGAAGATTTTTTTTTTCTTTTTTTACACTGATTGCTTTTACACCCATATAGGATGTAAAAGCAATCATTTCTTTCTCTCTGTCTGCATTCTTGCAGCCATTGATAACTACTGAGTGAGCTGTGATTGGTCACAGTTTGTTACATGGTACAAGGCTGTTGTGAATAGCCTTGTACCATGTGATCTGTGATCATTCATAGATTTCACACGTAGTAAGCAATGATGTCACAAGTGACATCTTGCTACTACTTTGCATGTGATCACTGATTGGCCAATCAGTGATCACATGATCGGGACCACGTACAGAGGTCCCGTCCGGCGATCGGTGTTTCACTGTGTCCGGAGGACACAGCGGGCACCGGAAAGCGGTGCTGCGCGCTCCCGGGGAGCGCGTACAAGCAGAGTGCGGGGAGGCCATTTATAAACAGCCACCCGACGCTGCAGTGCCACCGTCCGGCCGTTTATATACATGGGCCGAACGGAAGGTGGTTAAGTCCTCATGCACACTTGATGTTTTTTACAGCGGCTGTTTTTTTGGCTTTTGGCATTTTTTTCTACAGACAGTAAACTCCCCAGCATGATATCCTATGTGTCCATGTACACAGACTGGAATCAACGTTTTTTGGAGGGGACGTTTTTTGGCTGGAGAAAAAAAAAAAAAAAAAAAAAACCCAGGACTAGTGGGATTCTAGAGGATTCTAGAGGAGTTTTCTAGTTTAGTTTTACTAAAAAAAAAAAAAAAAAAAAAAATTTGTCAAATAAGATTTTTAATAAAAAACTGTAACCGCAAAAAAAAAAAAAACCAAACAAAAAAAAAACCACAGAACGCCAATACAAAAACACTAAAAAAACTCATGTTTTTAAACGTGACTTTACACAGCTAACATTACCGGCGTTATTAAAAATGCCCCATGTGCATGGAGCCTAAAAAGCCCCATCTACAGATTTAGAATATCAGACGGATGATCGCAGTTTTTTTCTGCATGCTAGTCTCATATCAAAAGTGAACAGATTACTAAAGTTAGAAAAATTCTTTAATGATGGGATAAAAATTCTGAAGAATGCAATGTACAATATATTGCCAAAAGTATTGGGCCAGCCCTTCAAATCATTGGATTCAGGAGTTCCAATCACCTCCATGGCCACAGATGTATGAAATCAATTTCACAATTTCAAGCTCCCAACTTTGTGGGAAGAGTTTGGGGATGGCCCCTTCCTGTTCCAACATGACTGCACACCAGTGCACAAAGCAAGGTCCATAAAGACATGGATGAGCGAGTTTGGGGTGGAGGAACTTGACTGGCCTGCACAGAGTCCTGACCTCAACCCCATAGAACACCTTTGGGATGAATTAGAGCGGAGACTGTGAGCCAGGCCTCCTCCCCCGACATCAGTGCCTGACCTCACAAATGTGCTTCTGGAAGAATGGTCAAACCTTCCCATAGACACCCTCCTAAACCTTGTGGACGGCCTTCCCAGAGGAGTTGAAGCTGTTATAGCTGCAAAGGGCGGGGCCAACTCAATATTGAACCCTACGGACTAAGACTGGGATGCCATTAGTTTACTTTTGGCGATATAGTATACTTTAATTGTATTTTTGGACGACTACTGTAATGGTTAAACAAAAATCGTATGATCCAGTATCATACAATAAAAATTTTCATTCTTGTCCCTTCTATTTTTTTCCTCAGACGATTCCTGTGTACTAAAGATCAGATTATCGCACATTCACTTTAAAAGAGGCGTTTTTTTCTCTCTCGATATTCTGAAAGTGTATACGGGGCTTAAGTCTAATCGAGAGGACTGAGGGAGAGGGTGATGACTATGGAAGCAGAAGGCCAGCAGCCATTTCTTTCTGTAGTCGGCCACCAGAAGGGCCTGTACCTTTATTTCAGGGACATCCATACATGCACATTGCAGTCCACTTGCCGATAACAGGAGTATGGAAGGATAAATGTGTCCCAAAAATATTTTTGTCTGAAGTTCTACCTTAATGCAAAAACTAATTTTACAGATCACATTCAAGCAACTACCATTTCTAAAGGAAACAGCTACACAGACAATGTTGTGCACTACAGTCATATGAAGAACAATCAAATCTTTAAACACACAGCACAAAGGACTGTGCAACTTTTAGCAGAGTGTCTAAAATAAGAATGGTCTCCATCACCCAGTCAGAATCTTTATTTCCATCTCCAATTGTGTTTTTCCCAGCATTCTGGGGCAAAAAAACATTTCACATAGGCAGCTGGATACTTTAGGCTTGTTGCTCTGTCTATACAACCAGAACACAAACCATCAGCATACAATACAGCAGAAAGAGACATTGTGCTTACCATTTCCTCATATGTCCTACTGTGTTCACTGCCCTGCCAATCCAATCTGTTAGGAAGTAGCTAGGATAGAGAAGAGAATGAAAACTCGTAACACTTTTCAAAACTCAAGGTTAACAAAATAGCAAGTTATTATAAGAACTACTGTTTTGCTATGAATTTCTTTTTAGAAAGATGCAGAATTAAAATATTAAAAATGACATAACATCAAGAGTAACACATATGAGCACTTGGTGATCGAGTTTACATACAGCCATGAAAGCTTTTTCAGTCATTTAACAAAAATCTCAACAGATGTAATGGTGTACTGTTAAAAAAAATTAGCGTACGGTCAAAGTTTTTTTTGGCCCTACTTGTATGGATTGCAGGAGTGCATTTCGTTCTACACTCCTATGACCTGTTTTCAGCAGACAGCAGGCTTTAGCCTAGAACATCACTCAGCCACTTAAGGCTTTAGAAAGATCCTGACTTTAAAGTCAGGATCCACCTAGATGCCTGGACCGGCAGCTGGCTCATCCTCTCAGTATGCTGCAGGGAGTCTGAGCCAGCCACTCCTGCACCCCCCTCAGTGTGGTGTTCCAGTGAGCTCTGGAGGGGCAGACCAGAGAGCCGCTGACCAACAGAGTCTGACTCTCTGAAGACAGAAAACCGAGCGATCATCGGTCTTTTTGAAAAACAGTGGGGGACAGATGCAGCATCTGCATAGGGGAGTATTTTTTTTTCTTTTAAGAACATCTTGGCCTCAGAAGCTGGTATTGCCCTCCTTAACAGAAATTTAATGTCAACATTTTGCACAACTGTCCACAAGTCTCTGACATCAATACAGTGACATTCTAACCACTTTTAAATGCAAAACTCCCCCATCAGCAAAATGTTTGCGGGTTTTCTTTTCAACCTCACTCCCATTTCAATGGATTCAAATAAGAGCTCTAACTAGACCACACCATAGTTCTCTGTTCTTTTGAAACATTCTTGTATTTGCTAGTGTATTTTGTTTTATGTTGAAATATTCATTTCAAGTTGGTTTAATGAACTTTCTGGCCAATGGCCCAACAGTCTCATTAAATGGATTGTAAACTTCAGACATGAAATATGAACACCGCATATCCCTCTATAGTCTGTACTTGTCTCAATCCAGAGCACTAAGTGTAATTTCTGTCTGCTGCTTTGTTCCTCTGCTATCAGCATAAATCACTTATGACATTTTACCTGACACCAAGAGAAAAATGGTGACAGGAGAAGGACCTCCAGCTAATTGAAAGTCTCAGCTCTGTTCCTGTGAGCTGTGTGGAGGCGGTGTGTCTCTTTCCTCCAATCCACTCGCAGAGCTCTCCTCACTGAGCTCTGCAGAGTGTAACTTCAGCTTACCGCCCCTTTTTTTCTGAATTCTCAGACAAGCTTTAAAAATTCAGCAAGCTGAACAGATGTAAAGAGAAGGCTACAGATAGACAGGTACAACCTATGTCATAGGATTTGTTTAATCTTTGCATCACCTGAGGCCAGTCACCTCATTGGGTGTGTGTATGTATATATATTTATTTATATTAATATTATATTTATAACCACTTCAAATATATTTTGATAGAAGGCAGAATTCATAGTTGACTTGATGACCGCAAGCTATCCAAATACCAAAGCAGCAAAGCAACCCCAAACCATATTTTCATCACCTTGCTTCACAAGTTGGAATAAAATTCTTTTCCTGGACACGGTATTTAGTTTGCTCCAAACAGGTCTACAGTAACTATGGACAAACAACTTTGTTTTAACAATTTATCAGTCCACAGCTCACAGGCCTATACTGTATGTTCAATTGAAAACTAAGAGCTTGCTCTAATGTTCTTTTTGGATACCAAAACCTTTTTTTTTTTTGGCACATCTAAACATCGAAGAAGCTGGTTATATTAGAGCAGTATATTGATTGATTGGAGATGCATGTACTTTGACCAACTGCTGTAAGAATTACCTACAGAACTAACAATTTCTAAGGGCCTTATCACCCGCTATTGATCTTGAGGACACTACACATAATATAGCAAGGATTACAGCAGACCCTATATACCTGGGGTTTAAATGAGACCAGCTGCACCTGCATACTTCCTAGGGATGTTGTAATCACCGACGCCTAATCTGGGACATTAGATTCTAATTTTCATTGATTTGAAGCAGTGGTAAATGTTGGGATGTACTTACTTTTTCCTTATGGCAAATTTGCATTTTCATTAAGCAACAACAGTTTTTTCCCCCAAAAACAGGTAACATAACTTACATATCTTAGCTGTGTTTTAATAAATTTCCTCCTCAGAATTTAATTTACTTTTGAAACTGTCCTCCGGTCGTGCTGACACTCCCTGTTCTGTTTGTGTCCCCTGTGATGCCTGGACCTTTGGAATCCCCACAGGAATCTCCTCTATGTGCATGAGTCCACTTTGTACAACCGTACATGCAGTGTTTCAAGCACCACATATACAGGCAGTACGAGAGGACATGGCACAGCTGTCAAAAAGCGGAGGAGGAGAGGAGGCATGGTTTTTGCTTTGTATGTCCCTCTATAGTGTTGCCTGTGTGTGGAGCACTCAGATTACTGCAAATACAGTAGAAACACAAAACAGGAGCACGGGCCCAGAAGAGACTCCTACAGGACACCATAGGTCTTGCTGGTACAGGGGGTAAAAACAGAACAGGGACTGTGTCAGTACCACCAGGGGACAGTTTCAAAAGCAAATTCAAAAAAAAAAAAAAAAAAAAAAAAAAAATAGAATTTAATGTCACTTGAATTTATGACAATGAATACATCAGGTCAATTTTACGTGTCAGTTCAGTTGTAGAAATTCTGAAATTCTACATGCATTTATCTATGAGATGCTAAAGGACTGTAACCACAAATTAACACTAGAAATTCTAAAAGAACCCTCTGCACAATACTATATCCCCTTTCCAGTAAACTTTGGAATTAAAAAAAAAAAAAAATAATAATTAGGGATTTTTAGTCTGTTTTCCCCAGGTTAGCATTGTGTCCAAAGTAGCATTTGCGTTGGGATTACTCTGGACACAGTTGGCCAGCTTACACATGTATTGCAATGTGTGAACCAAAAAACCCTATTGTTTTATTGCAAAGTATACTGGAAAGGGTATCTAGTGTGCAGAGGGTTCTTTTAGAATTTCTAGTGTTAATTTGTGGTTACAGTCCTTTAGCATCTCAGATAAATGCATGTACAAGATATTGGGATTTGAACAAGGGTATATCTTGTTTATTCAAGTGTGTCATCTTTTATCTGTGGGTACTGCTTGAATGAAGCTGTAATGTTGAACAATTTCCATGGGATTTACTCACTCTCTTTCACATGACTACATACTTTAAAAAGTTTCCCATGATAGGGAAAACGCTCATCCCTCAAAATGAGAGACTTGGCTCAGAGTATACTAAACCACCTACAATTAACAGTTGATAATACATTCGGGATGTGATAAATGTTAAAGCCAAACTGAACTTTCACTTTAAAACTGCTAACATTCCAGGTGCATCAAGACAAAAACGGTGTGCCAAGTCCTACGGTCTCTCTGTTGAAGCAGTGGCCTGTTTGCAGAGGCCCAACATATTAAAGCTCAAGATATTCAATGAGTACAAATTCCTTGCCTGCCACACGTTTTGCTCCCTTCAGGAGCTAGATAGGCCAGAGTCCCTTCCCAGGTGGACTTACTTTCGGATTCAACATTTCTTAAACAATACCTGTAAGTGTGCAAGCCATACTAGACTCTTGATAGATTTCAAACACCTCTGCTACCCTAGCTCTCCAAAGACCCACCTAATCTAGAGTTAAAGGTCAACTTTTGACATAACACAGGAGGTTGTAAGGAAAATCCAAAATTACTCCTAATCCTATACTGCCCCCTTCAGGTAACTGGGAAAGAAAAGGACACCTAGTGTGATGTCATAATTAGGCAAAATAAGCTATGCCCACCTAGGTTTTTTTGGGGTGATAAAAGTTAGGAGACGGACAGAGACAGAAACAAGACAGATGACAAGAAAACAATAGACGGACACAGATACAGAGGCAAGCTGGCCAAGAGCTTACTTTACTGATACCATAGAAACGTATAACTTTCATTCTTCTGTAGGGAATCCATGCTGAATTATATGTCCAGCAAAACCGTTTAGTCGGATAACGGTTATGGTTAGCACCGCAGTTGATGAAAATTATTTATACTGCAGTTAAAATTATTTCACATTTCAATTCTCTGGAGGGAGGCTTCTCTTTTAAACACTTGCCAACTGCGCTATAGCCGAATGATGGCTACAGCGCAGCTGTCCAGTTCTGGGAGAGAGTCATGACGTCCTCCCAGAACGTGCCCTCCCGGCGATCTCCATGATCGCTGTGTCCTATGGACACAGCAGATCATGTGATGTGGTAAAAGACCAATCACAGCGGCCTTTTACCACGTGATCAGCCGTGTCCAATGACACAGCAGATCACCAGTAAATGCAGTTGCCAGTTATCGGCTGCACTTTCCTCACGCTGCCACAGCGTGAGGAAAGTACTGTCGATAACTGGCAATTGTCAGAGGACAGATCAGCACTGATCATCAGTACCCAGCAGTGCCCCCCCGTCAGTGCATATCAGTGCATCATCAGTGCCACCCATCAGTGAAGGAGAAAAATTACCTGTTTGCAAAATGACACAGCAGATCACCGGTAAATGCAGTTTCCGGTTATTGGCTGCACTCTTCTCACGCTGTCACAGCGTGAGGAAAGTACTGCCTAAAACCGGCAATAGTCAGATCGGCACCGATCATCAGTGCACTGATGAGTAGTGCCACCCACCAACACTCCCCAGTCAGTGCCCATCATTGTTGCATATCAGTGCAGAATCATCAGTGCCACCTTTTGTTTGCAAAATTTTATAATAGAAACAAAGAAAATGTTTGTTTGGTTTTTTTTATTGTTTGCTCTTTGTTTATAGCACAAAAAAAAAAAAAAAAAAAAAAAAAACAGCTGCGATTAGATACCACCAAAAGAAAGCTCTATTTGTGTGGAAAAAATGATAAACATTTCATATGGGTACAG